ATATGAGCACTTGAGTAAGACTCAGAGCCACATAATGTTCTACTTGAATGTCTCCATTCCACAGGCTTCCCTACTCACTTCCTGTTTTCAGTGAAAACCAGTAATTTCTAGTGAGAAACCTCCTCTGAATCTGAGTTCTTCTAGGAATGGGAAGACTTGCAATGATTGTTGTGCCCAGAAGAAGCATGTTCTAGAAAAGGCACTGGAAGGAGACTGGTTGCTTGCAGAAGCTAAACACCGTTTTCCAGTATAGCTGGATTTGTTTAAAAGGAAAGAAGCAATGCTTATCTGACTAATCAGATGTCCTGTAACTTCCAGTACATTTGGAAGGAATCAGTGTCACTACATACAGTATTTCAGATTAGTAATAGGAAGGAACTTTTATACCTGCCTGTAAATTTAACCTACAGATTTTTTTCCCTTGAGAAGCCTATTTTCATAATACAATAATCAGTTGCCTTTTACTGGTTTCATATTAAAAGAACTTTAGTTGTTTGAGGTGTAAACAGGTCAAAGTGTCCATCTTTCTTTTTTTCAGGAATGTATGTGAGTCCTACTGCAATTCCTGTAATTTCAATAATCAAAAAGACCCATTATTTCAACAGCTGTGGATGAATTCAGGAAGTTGCTACTGATTAGCTTTATGAGCATCTTTCTGCTTTCTAAAACAAGCTTCCACTTGTGCAGATGATGAAGTGGATATATTCCAAAATGATCTCACATGGTAGAAAATTCTGCCAATATACGGATGTTGCAAACAAAAACGGTCTCAAGTTGGGAAATTTTGCTTGAGTTAATTTACTACGAAGCAACACAAATATTTTATTGATGATTCAGGTTCTGGGGAAAGAAAAAGAACGCAAACCATTAGACAAAAATATTCATGTACATTTTTTTTCTCTCCTCCGCTCCCAAATTTCAGTTTATCTTCACGTGAGGTACATTCTGTTAGAATTTACCCAGTGAGCCAACAGGCAGCACAGAAGTTGAGGCAATGTGCGTAACACTTGGGCCAAACCAAGTAATATGATTTCTGCCATTCGGTGCCCAGTGCTTCCAGTTGTCCTGGACATAGGGATTCCAGTTGTCCTGTTCTTCATTTGTCCCTGCTCAAGCATGGGAAGCGAACACTGATTGCAGTTCTTTCAGAGGCAAACTTTCTTCAATGTGGTCTGTTCCGCACACAATCCTTGTGTGTGGAGTGTTCCCACCTTAAAGGCTGCAGATTGCTCCTTAAATATGTCATGGGAGGAGGTGCTGTGCACTTCTCTCAGTAAGGTTATAGTGCGCAATGATTTTTTTCCATTGTTGCTTGGCTCGCATCTGGGCAGGCTGGAATCACCTCTGACTGGCACACAGTAAGTCATGATCTCCCCATTCCAAAGGGCTAGAAGCACTGTGTTATATCCATGCAAATACACTTTGTAGTGTGCATGATACCCAAAGATCTGTTACTATTGGGTACTCGACCAGGCTGAGATAAATTCCTCCCACTTTCTCCTACCAACTCATCATCCTCTCTAAGAGTTTATGTACGTGCACACTGCCTGTGAGCTGATTCACTGCACAGAAGAAGAAACATGTCTGTGTCAGGGAGTTACATCAGTGAACTTGAGAGGATGAAGCCTGCTGAGTGTAAGGAGCTATTTTTTCAGCAGAATTTCTCATCCTCTATTGTTGGTACTTTTCATTCTACTAACGGAAATTTTCAAGACCTTATACATCACTAAAAGAACACACTAATGTCACCGATCTTACACCACCTATGAATTTTTTTCATGGAAGACTCCATGACCCAGAGGCCATGATGCACAGTTGCATCATGATCTCAGCTTATCTTCATCCAAAAAGCTTTTGCGAAGAGGTGGACGGGGAGATTGTGAGCAAACTAAAGCTAATGCAAAAAGGGAGAGGGAGAGGGAGGGAAAGGGAAAATGAAGAAAGTTTAACTGCTATCAAGCCAGAATAAGATTTCTGAAGATCTGAGAAAAATACTGACAGGAGGTATGAAACCCTGGTGGAGAGTCAGAAGACAGCAATCCAGCAACACAGAGATAAGATGGCATCAAGAACAATGGAAAGCTGACAATTCCCACACCAGTTTGATGACCACCTGGACAGTAGAACCTGTCCAAAACCAGAGTCTTTTCACATGTTATTCACACCTGTGTTCTGTAACCACTATTCAATCCATAAGTTCTGTTTATTCAGGTGTGCCAACACGTGACTAGGCCCTGGCCTGAGGTTTAGCTAATCAAACAGACCATGAAAAACTCTGGGCATGACACAAGCAACTCTGAACGCTACAAATAACAGAGTGAGATGCTGGTAACAGTTACAGACAGCACAGTGAGCAACAGCTGGCCTTCACAGGTGGAGAAAAGGGAGTTACACAGTAACTTCACAGGTAATTGGAATGGAACAGTAGGGACTCTTTGGGAGTGGAAACTCGCAAGGCCAGCAGCACCTAAGTAATTATACCAATAACAGCATGTAAAGCTGAGACAACTTAGGAAACGGTAGAAGAAATATGTATGCGGGTGCAGATGTAGAAAACCTGGGACTAATAGGGAAAAGGCAACTAGGGAAAAGTTGTTTCTTTGAGATATGAAGGGCAAAGAAAGGGAGAGGTCAGGGTAGATGGTGGAAGCATGGGAAAAAAATCAAGAAAAGGTACAGTAAAAGGGACCAGTTGTATACAAGCAAGCTGCTTATCTGACTAAGCCTTGTATTCCATACCTGCAGGCTACCCAATCTTTTTATTAAACCTTATTTCTACCAAATTTCTGCATGATTCTGGGGAGAGGATGAGGGCAGAATGAAAGAGAGAGAGCACTGCAAGTCACGGGATTTGTATACCTGTATGTTTTCATTAGCAAACTTCAATCTTGATCTGTTGGAAAGGAAGAGAAGGATTGGGCTATCTGTGTTCCTATTTATGGGAATGATGTTTGTGCATATGTGGATGACAAGCAGTGAAGACATCAGTCTCTGTGTTGTCTGTGTGGCTGATGACATTAGTGTTGTGTGTGTATCTGCACCTTTGCAATACATATTCTGCTTGGGTTTTGGCTGGACTTGCAAAAAGTAACAGCATCAGCCACAGCTATCAGTCCAAGACAGAAGATACTGCCTGGGTCTTAGATTGCACCAGATTTGTCTCTAGTAGAAGAAATCTCTGTCATCACAGGATTCAGCTGCTCCTTAGCATTGTTTGCCCTCAAGTTATATATATCCTGATAGCAGGGTCTCAGTGTACGCTAAAAGACGTCCAAATAAAAATGATCCTGTGGAAGTCACATAAAGAAAATTCACCTCACATGTCACTGTCCTTCAAAATTGAGATGAACTTCAAGGGAATAAAAAATTAAGGATCTGAATTTGGGAGCTTGTGGGGCTAGAGTGGGGCAGTAAAGCTGAAATTAAGCCTTCAAACTGTCTTCCTGAGGCTTACAGAGGCTGGAAGAAATATTGCCAGTTCTGATGTTGATGGGGTAGAAAACACCCTACTGCAGGGGAACAGATCATTCAAAGCCAATATTTAAACTGATGACACTTCTTTCCTAATTGAAATTAGGACAAAGAGTTGTTTTTGTTGATGTTTAAATTAGGGGCTGCACTAGTTCAGCTTCAGCCAGGACTGAACACAGATGGTTCAGTTCTGAGATTTCCATGATGGATAACATGCAACAGTTGATAACGCGACTCATCTTTCCACAAGCAATAATGGTTTTCAAGAAGCAATCCTGAGAAGTGAACAGAAAGCCTATTGATTTTCAGTAATGGATGCTTATTGTGCTCCTTTTGTGTTTTACAGCTTCTGAGGCACCTCACTGAAACCAAGGGGGTTTTTTTATTTGGATGAGTAGATTCTCAGAAATCAACAAGGGGAAAATTCCTAAGCATCAGCTTATCCTGGGCTACTTGGTTCATCTATCATTACTTATAGAAGTAAAATTAAAACCCTGGTTATTCTACCTGATAGGGAAGGGCTCATGTTTGGATCCCAACTCATAGGAAAGTGTATTTGAGTGCTGGTATGGATATAGAAATTGCTGTAGGGGAAAGTCTGCAAACCTCTATTGTATAGTTCTTGGAACTCGATACATACCTTTGATCAGACTGAAGTCCCAAGGGCACAATTAATTACCGGCAAAGTTTTTATCCAAAAATAAGTTACTTACTGAGTTAGTGCTTAACATTCATCTGTAATTTCAAATTGATTCATTACTCAAATGAAAAATAACTTTTTAAAAACATTCAGAAAAGGAATTAAAAACAATGCCTGTAACAGTCTCATATAATGAAATCTACAGTTTTGCTTGACATTTTAATGCATAATAAATTACGTCATGGGTTCTAGTTTCCCAACAACCTCACCATCATGGATAATTGTTCTTGAATGCTTACCACAATAACTTGATGCAGTGAAGACAACAGGAATAATTGTTGATCGTGTGCTGGAAGGGTGACCCACTCTTAAGTTTCTTTTTTTCGTATATTTTCTACAAAGGTTTTCAAAATTAATTATGACATTTGCGTTTCTTATGATCTGATTTTCTAAAACATGTCCCTGTGGGTTTGATTTTTCAAACACTGTATCTCAGTGCACTCAGGCCCTGGGGGAACGCTGTGCAGCAGATGCTTTTGAAAAAGCAGTCACATGTTTAAGTACATGAAGAGGAATTTTTTCTTAACATTGCTAAAGAGAGCAATATCTCACTGGATTTTGGTGAGATTTTTCACTCCTTAAATGCTGGTAAGTTTCTCAAAATCTTCCTCAAAGTAAGATCTGCCGTTTCTGAAAATTCTACCTCCAACATCTGGCATGAAACTTTCTATGACAGACTTTTGGAGACAAGGACCTGTTCAGTCAGCCTAACATACTTAGTACTACCAACAACTACACCTATATCAATTTTTTAAAAACTGTAACAAAGGTTAGCACAAAATCAGGATCTAAAGAGCTCTGAAATAAGCAGTATTCAGAAGACAGATCATTAACATCAGTAAGAATTTACTTCACATTCCAAGTAGTTTTCTTCCTATAAAGTTATTTCTTATTATTAATAAAGTGGTAGCTTCTACAAGCCTGATAATAAAGCAGGATTCAGTGGTGTTAGGCATCAAACAGAATTAAAAGACTGTTACTGCCCCAAATACATTGTCAATTAACTAAAGGTAATATTTATAAAAGCGAAGATCAGAGCTCACAAAGATTTTAAGTTTCACTTACACCTACACTCAGAATACAGCATAATATTTGGAAGATAAAAGCAAATCTGACAGTGCTATGTAGTGTCGTATAAACGTATGACAAGCCCCAGCATTTTATTGCCTGATACAGCAAGACTTTTTATTCATATCAGATTGAAGTTCAATGGTTTTCTCTTTCACTTTATCTTCATGTTCTTTTAAAAACCTGGGGGAAAGAAACAATGCTTTAGAGAAAAAAGTCAATAATACCCATAAGAGATCAAATAAAAAACTTTTTCCCAAGCCTATAGAATTGTCCAGAGAATAATAGAAAATGATAGAATGTTGCAAACTAACAAACAAACAAACAGAAAAGTACAAATACGGTGGCTCCATCACAAAACTGCCTTTGTTCATTTAGTTAGAAAAATTTAGTTAGTGCTGACTGTTAGCATTTATTTTATGTTATGGAGACTCAAAACAGTGACTTCTATTTGTTATTTTTGAGGCTGGAACAAAACAAAACCATATCTAGCTACCTACACATTTATCAATTACCTGACACTTTCACAAAATTTCACTGATTTCAGCAACAATATTAAAGATCTGCCAACTCATTACCAGTGTCTTTATTTCTGTAAGTAGTTCAGAGAGGACATATTTTCCTGTATTTTTACCTCTAGCCTTTATATAACTTCAAAAATCCATTTCTCCCTGTCTCCCAGTCCCCAGGCAGACAGTAGAATTTGAGCTGTAATGAGCAGAGGGAAGAAATAAGCATATCCAATGTCCTGCTGCAAAGAGGCAGCAGCATCCATTTTCAAGTATATTTCTCCAAACCTTCAAGACATTCTTGCAAGACCTATCACAACATCCTAGGCCCTCAGCTTTCCTAGCAACAGTTCATGTGTTTCTGGACCTATACAGAGCTTTGCTAGCTTAACATAGGACTCTTTATGCACCTGAGCAACTACTCAGTCAGAGCAACAGGGTCAGGCTACAGACCAGTTTAAAAGGAACAAATATTTCATCACTCTAAGTTCCTATAAAACTAATTTAACCAAGAGAATTCACTCTGTCATCAATGATGGGGCAGTCAGGCACATAAAGAACTCATAGACTGTGTGTTTCTTCTTACCTAGCTAAGTGAAGCACAGACTTATCCACATTGTACCCAGAACATGCACTGCATTCATAGAAAATTAAATTGTAATCCTACAATCAAACAGAAAGACCATTTTAATTACTTTTGCACAATATCTCATTCCAGTTTTAAAAAAAGCAATGCAGATAAACTGAAATATGCAAATAAAGAAACAGAAATAGATCATAGGAAAAATTATAATTTAACTCTAGAGCTAACAGTAAAGAGTAACAAAAGAAGTCCAAGCACTAGTCACAAACAACAACTATATGATTCTCTTACCAGATATTTGTTCTATACAGTAGCTTTAGCTATAAGAGCTGAAACACAAACATGCCTTGTAAGGTACTGAAGTCTTGTGAGCTTTCCTTGTGACAGTCAGGCAACTACTACATCACTGAGTGCTGGACAAAGCAGGAGAAAAGAATTCCAGTAACTTTTGTTTCATCTTTTTGTATATGTGAATTTTTTCTGCACTTACTTTTGCAGTCAGCCTGCACCTTTGATTTTGCACCCCCTGGGAGCTTTGCAATTAAGAACAGTAGATAAATGATCAAGTCTTGGAGAGATTCTCAGCACTTCAGCTGAAGTCTTGTCACCATAAATGCAAATGCAAGAGATTATCTGCACAAAAGCCTGACCTGGCAGTTGTGACTGCAAAGAAGTTTGAAAGGGAATGACAGATAATCCTCCAAAATAGACATCTGTCTACCTCCACAACATACTACATTACAGCTCACCTACACTGCCTCTATGGTTTTAGAACATGTCCTTTTACCCATCCAGATTTCAAGGTTCTATTCACTTTCCACTTTTCTAGGTGTCTTATTGCTATTTATGGCAGTAACTTAAAATTCAAATAAATAAGTCATACCTTAGGAAATCACAATCACATCTGCAAATTTTCATTTGTTTGTTATAAACTGTGGCTACTGCATTAGTACTTATTTAATCACTCTTCATAAGACACTTACAATTCAATTTCAAAGGTTCCCATTAAAATGACCAGGTATTCCAGTTGTGGTTTGGGCTTTTTTATATGTATACACCATGCTTCAAAATTCACACCACTTTTGTAATTTTTTTTTGTCTTCACAAAATTTCATAGACACAAAGTGAGGAAAAGAAATGTCATAAATATGGTAGTTTATTTTAGCATCATTAACAAAGGGCTTCAGTGTTAACAAATGTTAGTTTTGTACATGTCGCCAATGGTTATATTGTTTGTTCTAGTGAAAAACAGGATTGAACCACTTGCAGTAATTTCTGGATGGCCATATAAGCACAGAAGAGCAGAGAAGGAAGTAATCAGGCAATGTTAGTGTTGGATAGCTTTTTTTTTTTTTAACCAGTGTTCTGTATAACATTTACAATTATGTAACCCTATGATTCTCTTGCTTTTCTCAGAAAAGGTTTAAGATAAAATTTGACTGGGTCAAATTTCTTGCTAGCTATGCAAACAGAAGTTTGAAATAAAATTTACACTCTTCTTTCTGCTCAGCTGATCAGAACTCTAATAGAAAACCCACAGCTACTTTATGTCAGTCAAGCAGAGAGTGATACTACTCTGACATCTTCCCCACATACAACAGAATGTCACTAGAGGAGAAATCCCAATGATGACATCGTTTATGCTGGTATGAACCTAAATGGAAAGATAGCAACTTAAACTCAATTGATAATAATGGCTTAATTCTGTCTGTCTGGCAAAAGGTTTTCTGTGAAAGGGGAGATAGTCTGGAAATGCAAAGTGTCATTCCTTTGATTCAAAGAGGAAACTTTAATTGATAGCATACCCAAGGAGCACAAGTAGCAGAAAGAAGAACACATACAATTAATAAGCCAGGAAATGTCATCCATCTCCATCCAAGAATTAGCTATTGAACCTTGGAGACCACTGCCAATTACTTCATTTTAAAAACTTACCTACAAATCAGCAGACATTTAAAGAACACAGAGGAAAATTAATTATTACTAAAGGCAGCTGGGTGATTTCTGTCCTGTATAGTATCACTCTGAGAATAGCTCCCTCATTAGCAGTATTTATATAACAATGCCGCTGACAGGTTGACAAAGGAGACACTGTAGGAACACACAGAAACAGTGCTCATCCCATGTCTGCAGTCAAGGCAGACAAAGGCATTATTATCTTATTTTATAGTTGAGGAAGTGTGACAGAGAAGGATTTATTGACCTGTTTAAGATCTCTCAGGAAACATGTGCAGGGCCAAAATAAAATCATTCTGAGTATGAGCATGCCAGAGCAGCACCTTTACCATAAAGCATTTTATTTTAACAATTGTCAGTGGCTACACTAATCCATTGAAATAGAACATTAGCTGTTCCTGGATGCTCACAATATGTCTGAATATTCTATGTATTGTGCTTATATGATCTCTTGATCAGTAGATTGAGCTAAGCTAAACAGAAATTTGATAAATGGAGTTTTCTTTCTGGATCCTCTGCTGAAAAAGTCAAACGGACTTCCACGATCCCTATGGTAATTCCATTCCCCTTTCTCAAGGTGTAACACACACTGCAACTTCCAGTCTTCTCAAATGATGAGGACTCTCTTCAGGCTGCCATTCTTCCTTTTAATAACGAACTGTGCTGCCTGCCTTGCAAAGGAGTTATGTGAATTCGTAGTACACTGACTTACAAGGTGTTGGACAAAAGCAAAACAAGGGTTAACACAGCTGGGCTGGAATGGCCTCTGAAAGTACACATTCCTTTCTGACGACAGGGAAAGCTAGGTAAAACCAAACCCATCCTGTGAGACCTTGAAACAGTTCTTAAAACTGTTGGACTTCAGGGTCAACAGGCTAATCTGATTCTTTGTCTGCACAAGAACAGGTTGTTTTCACCAAATATGGCTGTATTTGTATCATCTCAGCATCTAGTCCTGTGTATTTTGGATCATGTGTGAGTAATCACTGTAGGTGATTATTCACAAAGTAAGTAACTCAGTTGCATTCACAAATAGAGACAGTGGTATGTGGTTTCATAGGAATTACATGATCATTTAGCAAGAATTAATATTTCATTAAAATTCATGGTTATTATTAGCTCAGCAGGCAAATTATTATAATTTAATTATATCTATGCTGCTTTTCAACTAACCCATTGTCATTAATCATTCCTTAACTACCTCAGGCAGCACATTCACACATTCAAATGAGTCATTCAGATCCATTCATTTGATTATAACCATCTTATTTGACAACTTTCTTTGTTTTACTTATGCAAAACGTTTTATTTTTTTGCATGACATGTTAGAATTAATAGCCTGGTGGGCTGTGAATTCTATATACTAGAATGATTCATCTCTGTTTTAACTAGTACAATTTTTTTAGAGAGTGAGATGACACGTAAGACACCTACTCTCTGTCCATTTAGCATTTCTGTGTCACTTGTTTTTTCACAGAAGGATTCAATGTTACACCCTGGAGTCCCTTCCAACCTCTAGGGTCTCAAAGCTATTGGTATTTCCATGCATAAAAGAAAATAAAGCTGATTTCCTACAGGGAGAATCTTTGAGGGATAAAGTTCAAGACTGATGTTGCTCTCCTATTAAACCACAATAATGGATACAAACCTGAATATGGAGGTATGATTTCAAAAGGCTGTATGAATAACCAGATTAAGATAAAAAGAGATCTGGCCCTAATTCTTTCAGTTATAGAGAGGTGCCTAGCAGCAATCTTTCCTGGAAGAAAAATTCAGCTGCATTTCAAATTTTGAAAATACCCTTTTTGATTATTAGCAAACAGAGCTGTAAATCTATTTTTAAAGGAGAAACATGTAAATATGTGAAATCCAGCACATTGTTTAATGTAGGTATATTTCTACCAATTCAGTTAATTTTTCATGAATATTGTAATGACTTAATATTAAATAAATGAATATTCTGCAGGCATTGATGTTCAAACTATATGCACTGCATAGAAAGATTCAAAAGAAAATTTGATAGGCATGGCACACAGGAATATAAACAAGTATCTGGTATTTGCAGTCCCTTTAATGCTTAAATTATGCCCATGGATAACCAGTGCTGTGGTAGATGCAGACTGCTAACTCATTTTATCTCCTTGATGGAAAGTTACTAAAAGTAAACATGTTTTCTACTCCTACCACAGGAGTAACAGATGGTCTTCTGTGGTTTTACAGGAGGTAGGAGGGAGAAAAGGTCCCCAAATTATCTCTCTGTTAAGAATCCATGCACAGAGAAAAGGGAGAAAAAAAGAGAGAGAAAAAAAGAAGGGAAGAAACAAAAGAGAGAGAAAAAGAGAAGAGACACAGGAGAGAGACAATGAGAGTGAATTCTTAGATTTCTTTTTTCTCCACTCACTTTTTGGGGTTTTTTTTTGGTTGGTTGGTTGGTTTGGTTTTGGAGTGTTTTCTTTTAATCTACACAGTGTTATAACTACTATAATTATCAACACTTACATCACTGAGAGCTGAATTGATGAGTGTGATGAGATTCCTAATCCTTAAAAATACTCATCTGATCAAAATTAATCTGTGTTTCTATGAATTAGACACATTGAGACTCCATTTTAAAACCTTCACCTTCAAGCTTTCTAAGGGGTTCCCTAAGTACAGCGAACCTTACCTTAGCAAGATGCTCTCCCATTCCCATAGGGACCTCACGTTCCTTTTCATTATCAGTTTTATTACCCAACAAAAGGACAGGCACATTCTCCCCAGTTGCCTCCTGCAGAACAAAGAACAAATATCAACTGAATGAGGCACTGTATTTAAAAAAAATCACAGATCAAGAGGATAAAAACTAACAAATGTCACACTATGACAAGACATTTAAGACTTAACACATGAGCCAGGCAAGTGACACTTTACTTACAAACATGTCAGGAGTTAAAGTTGGATAAAAGACATGAAAAAGACAGAATGCTTAGATTACACTAACTTGGCATTTTTTTAATAACAGCACAGAAGCTCATTAGACTCTATATTAAAATGGGAGAGAGAAAACCACCATACTACACAGGCTCAGACATTGCGTGTTTATTGCCATTGCTTTTCTAATTACATGGCCAAGAAAAATAATGACAACACCTGGGTACAATTATGCCAAATGAATTACATTAAATAGTGGAGAAATACACAGAATAGGCCCCCAAAAATACATAGAATAGACAGAAATCAAAATTCATTCTAAAAAGGGTTATAATTATCACAGTGAGTGCCTTCATAAAGTGGGCTGAATGCTACAGCAGTAAATGGACTTGGCCGTATGTCCAACTTAGCAACAGTTTGCAGCAAACAAAATTAGTCAGTAAAGAAGAGTGAACTATTACAGCTTGGAAAAAGGCTTTAACCACAATGTTCAGTCTTTCTGAATCAAAATCTAAAAAGCTCTTCTAGCTTTTACCATTCTGAATTAAGTCACTGATTTATTAAGATCATATATTTCATAAGGGCCTGCTCTTATCAAATGCATGCTAACATTACTTAAGTAAGATTACTCATGTGGAATAACTATGCCTGTTTGGAAACATTTGAATGACTGAGTCCTAATTTGAACTCACAAAGCCAGCTCTTGGTCTTTATGGAAAATGGAATATTACATTATAGCACATTCCCAATAAAATCAGGCTAAATGATCTTTACATATCAATTTGTCCCGTACTTTTTCAGTGAGCAAACAGGAAGTCATGCTCTGTTCTCGCTGTGACTCAGCCCTTTATAGCAGCAGCCTGAGTTTTATTTTTTGTTCTGGCCACAAGCAAATTCAGCTGCTTACACTCTTAGTATGTTTTAATTTTTAGTTTCCCCAAGTCACTCAGTGGCACAGTCTAGGATTTTATTTTCATGTGGTTGAAAGAATGATTCCCAGGAAACTGAACTGTCTATCATGAGACAGTTTCATAGCACTAATGTAGTACTTTGTAGCACTTCAAACCATATTTTTAAGTTTATGGCTTATGTTCACAATATAGTCAACTTCCCATGAGCTACATGGTTTGACTTGGCTGTCAAACTGCTAGTGATGATCAGTGATCATCAGATCACCATCACTGATCCAAAGCACCTCTCAACACTAGCAGTGATCCAATGGGAGTCATGAGCTAAATTACCTTTATGAGAAATCAGAGGATTCCATGCTGGGATTTCCCCACACCCATATCTGAAGTCCTTAAAGAAGCCTGGAATTATGATTCTTTTTCACAGATAGAGATTAAAAACACCTTTAGTAATAACCGTGCAGACCAAACTCACTAGCAAAAATGTACTTGTGACAACACATGAAACATACTGCTCTCTGTGTTTTGCCCTGCTAAGAGCCCTTGTTCAGAAGAAGGTAGAGAATAACGACACTAGAGTTTAGATTTAAAGTTATGTCATGTTACCTCAATGCTTATCAGCCACTGCCTGACAGCTGTGAACGTGTCTTTCGCTGTTATATCATACATCACAATGACACCGTCAGCTTTTCTGAAAAACTGCTTGGTAATACTTCGGTACCTACAAGTAAGAACGTGTTTATAGCTCTCTTCAACAGAAGCAGCAATCTGACACAGAAAAATTTACAGTAATTCCCCCCTCTACCCTCCATCTCCCAAAGGAATATGTTGCCATACAGTTTCTTCTATTCATCACCTTAGTAAGGGTAAAAGCCCTCTTAATGTGGTTCACCTATGCATTCTAAAATTCCATAAACTAGACAAGAGAGAAGCTGTAATATTGATCTTCACTGCAGATCCTGTTTGAAAGGTGAAGCTTATTATAAATCATAGTAAGCAATCCCATTCTTCTTGAAGCACCAGACCCCACAAATTACTGCAAAGACAAATAATTTGTTTAAAAAAGAAAAGACTTTTTAAAAAAACTGTTTGGAAAAGTTCCCCCTGCCTTCTTTAATTGATTCTGGGTTAAGCTGGATAACCAGCTGCATATCTCACCTTCTCCTACCCTCTTTCGTTTTAAGATTGGAGGAGAAATTTCCCCTTCATTAAATGCTCTTTAGTAACAGAAAATTACACAACAGATTAGGAGATGGGGAAAGAAATTACCGCTGAAAACTTAAAGAAATTTGTAGTTCTTTGACTACAATGGGATTGTTTTGGTAAAAAGAACCCTCTTTGTTATCTGTTAAGGCATTTTCTGTCATATAAATAATTCTAGGTGTATTTTAAAATCAGTCTTCCACCTAAAGAAATTGTGCAGTGTTAAACTTTTAAAGTTCAAACAAGAATCTCTTTTACAGATTGTCAGTTTTTCAATGGACTTAGCAGCGCACTATTGATGCAACGGAAGGATTTAAACTGAATCCACTGGCTCTATTAGGAATTTGTTCCTCTCCTGAGAAGCAGGATTAGGTCCATGCTTACTAATCTTCAAACAGACAATTCAAGGAGGCAAAACCTTAAAATGTGTACTAGTTTTGACTGGGATAGAGTTAATCTCATCACACAGTCTTCATTTCAAACAATGAGTCTTGTCACTTTCACCCCTCCAATTTTCTCCTCCATCCCATTGGATGGCAGAGTGAAGGAACAGCTACACAGCTTAGCTGACTATTAGGGTTAAACCACAACAGTGTGTTTCTCACCGTTCCTGGCCAGCAGTGTCCCAGAGCTGCAGCGCTACTTGGGTATTATCTACTGTGACAGTTTTCACGTTGTAATCCACACCTACAACAGAAATGCAAGGTAAGTTGTCTCCTTATATGCCATTTGATCTCTGAAAAATGGATCCAGCAAATAGCAAATATTCCAGAAAGGTTACAAGATAGATATTACATTAAGAATTATGTCTATAGTCTCCAACTATCAGAGGACAACAAGAGCTTTTATTTGTCTGAAGTTCTTCAGTAATAAAATAATAAATGTTAATAGCATAGTTCAGTTTTGTAAAAGCTGTAAGGTAAGTCAATTTCCAAATTAGGGAACATGAGTCAAGGGTCCATTTGATAGTCCACACCAGTCCAAGCCATTTAGCCTGGAATTCATGCTGTATAACTTCAGTTGTATGAAATTTGTTAGTTTAGTCAGAGCTAACCACATAAGCACCTTCTGCAATTCATGGAAAAACACAACGCACAGCACAGGGGACAGTGGAACCTAAGAGAAATGCTGAAGATAAATGGACAGAACATGTGGAGAACGTCCTACCTACCCTGTTCAGAATATAGAATATGAGCTCACTACAGTTACATGAGTCCCCTAATTAAGGGGCTAAATGGAAGTGAGATAAAAATTAATTTATCTAAACTTTTAAATGAATCCTCTCCCAGTTTCCCTAACCTGTGAAGATATAAGTATCTTCTGGATATTTATAACAATAATTAGAGTCTTAAATGTCAATGAGTCACTACCTCTTCCTAATGACAATCTGCATTTTCTTGTATCACAATGTATGTATCACAAAATCACAGAATCATTGAATAATTCAAGTTGGAAGGGATCTCAGTAGGGCATCAACCATTTCTTTGGGGCCATTTTCCACATCAGTGGGATTTTTGCCACTGGTAGTAATGAAAAAGCATCTACATCTGCATTCCTTCAACAGACAATTACAAAATCTGGATGGAGGACACATCCATTGCTTATATCTCAAGGGAAGAAATTTGAACTGTTCTGTAGAAATTCAATGAGAACACTCTTATCCAGGTTGTTCACTTGACTTTTCAACTGCCTGTATCTTGCCAGCCATAGTCCACACCTATGAAACTCATTGATGTGAACATTAAAAATCAAAGCTATGACAAATACTTTCTTGCCATTTTCTTTGCAAGAACCCTGGATGTCCAGCCAAAAGATGAAAAAGGTCAGACTAATTCCTTTTCTTCTGGAAAATTTGCACACACTGTGTAAGACCTCAGAGTCTAGAGAAGTGTATTAGGCACTTACAAAACAACATGGATAGGGCATAGCATATAGGTCTATAGGATATATGAATAGACAATTGCATATAGGTGTCTAAGCTCCCATTCCACTTAATAAAGATGTAGTCAATGAAAACCTAGAAGTCTAGGAAATTACTAAGCTCACCTTGAAGTGGGCATCAAGGGTCAGGTTAATTGGTGCCTAGGCTCTTCTTTCTGACTGGATTAATTTGGAGAGGATGGCAGGGTAGAATTCAACTGTTTGCTCACAGGCACCTACTGCTATCTGAGATGCTCTTCGGTAATCAACATATCTGTTTCAATATGGCAGAACATCCAGGAGACCTGCTCTCTTCCAAAGCAGCAGGAGGACAGGATATCCATTTCAGAATAGTGAGATCTATAAGAAAATTCCAGCTTCACTGAAATCAGTAGGATTTTTGTGATTTATTTCAGTGCTGCCAAGATTTCACATCTCCATCAATTATCTGCTTCACAGCTTAGGAGGACTCACTTTGCATGTCCTACTTATACAATATCTGTATGCTTCTGTTTTATAACACAGGGCCTAATCTCAGTAGAAGCCGCTAAGTACTGTTGGAACAAAAATAATAATAGGAATAATGTTTCTTAAACTTACCTACAGTAGCAGCTGTGCCTGGGAAAAAACGATCTTCACAAAATCTTCTTAAGAATGAAGTCTTTCCCACACTCGAATTGCCCACAAAAATAATCTTGAATAAGTGCTCTGGGACAGAGTTTATTCTCTCCTCCTTCAAGTAATAGCAAAAATTAGTCTCAAACTGTTCTATAAATCTTGTTGCCTCTCCAGTTTAAGGCTGAGATGAGAAAAAGAATAGTTTAAATCCTATCATGTTCTCCATTACTCACGAAGCAATATTCTGTTTCTTAAAATAACTCAGCATTTCAGATGTTTGCTATGCATCATTCCAGATCATTTGAAGTGCAGTGATTTGCACTGAGCTCTGGAAGTATACTGAATATGAACCTTTGCATGACACTGCATTGAAAAATGAATGAAACTGCCAAAATAAAACAGTTTATGTTCATGGCCACAAATCAAAATTTATAAAGCTTCACACAGCTCTGCTCAGTACCTTCACCCTATACCAATGACACAGAGGAAACAGCACATCTTCATCTACATAACAGAAGCAAAGTCATAATTTTTTGGCTTATGCCACCAGATTCTTCTCTCTGCTACTACCATGGAGCCAAGAGCTTCCATCCAATTACTGCATTTCTGCATCTGTTCAACATTACAGGCAGAAGCAGGGGGGAAAGAGAGAGACAGAGAGAGAATTAGACCAGTTAATCAGGCTGTAAACATTCAGCTATGTTTCTGTCATTTCATTTTTTAAGCAGAAGGAACAACGATTTGTTCTGCTTATCCAGGTCCTGTTTACTGCAGGCTAAGCTAAGTGGATGCTGGAGAGAATATTTATATCCTCTGTCAAGTAGGTCATTATTGCTTTGTATGTAGATCAGAAGTTGCTTAGGGAAGGACACTGTAGCACCAGCTGGTTTGCAGGGAGTGCCCTAGCAGGTCTTTTCTATTTTATGTAAAGGTGAAGGAAAAGGGAGTTTGAAAGTTTGTTTGCAATGCTGCAGAAGGGGAGCAAGATCATGATGTTATTGGCATTAGTATGTTGAGTTGGGGGCTGTGAGGAGGGAAAGGAGGGAGGGAAAGGCCCTCTGCCAGTCATTTGAGGTGCAGAACTCTCAAGACTGCTGCCTTCATGAAGACATAAGAACTGAATTCACTGCCCAACAGTCCTTTGAATGAGACACTGAAGTCTGGGCTTGGAAGTGTATTCTACAAATATACTGAAGTCTTATGGAAAGAAGAAACAGAGAGCTGCGCTTTGGGAAAAAACCCAAACAACAAAACCCCAAGCTGCTGTCTTCCTTAGTATGAAAAAAAAATAAAATCATTCACTGCTGGAAATTTCGGGGACAAAAGTACATGCCTCTTTCATGAGTTGGGCTAGTAGCCCATTACAACTATACAGAGGTTTCTTATTCTCCTTTTCTATTAAAATCCCAAACACCACTGCAACTATATGCTACTAGTAGTACACATACATTTATATAAAGCACATTTTCAGTTCTGCTGAAAAACATTCCCAGCTTATTAGACTGTGTGCTCTGGGAAATTAGAAAAAGTTAACATACAATCATCAGCTTGGCAGCATTTTCACAGTGCTTCTGAGAACAATAACTAAATATATGGACTACATGACCTGTAATACCTTGTCCCTAGTGGTCATACACACCTCAGTAGCACTAAGACTCAAAGACACCAAAGGCCTTCAGCTCAACTCTCAGCATAAGTCATTTTTCACTGAGATGTATCAACTCCACTGATGAAATTAACTTTAATAATCAAACATGATTATAAACACACATCTGAACACTATACTAAGGGATAAGCTACTTCACAATCTGCTTCAACGAAGTGCTGATGGCAAAATGGTATAGCAGTAGATGTGAATTTACTTTAGTTTACAATGCAGTCTGAGAAAGTCATCCCTAGATGGGTCTTTTGAGCAGTCCTTATCTAAACAGTAGCCAGGTCAAGTAACACACCTAGCTTTTGTGCAATTTAACACAAATGTGGAAGATGACAGGTATAAACCCAGTGGTTCATATTCCTTATTGAAATAACAGAGGGGAGAGGAATTGCATCTCAGGCAGAGGTTTTGGACAGAAAATTTTGCTTTAATTTCCATTATGGTTCCTTCAGGTGTTTTCCCAACCACATTTCTGCTAATGCTAACTGCAGCTTCATCTGTATAGCCACTCAGAAAAATGTTCTACCTGATTGTCAACTCCCAGATTAAATGGCAGTTGTTGGACAGCACATGGCTGGTGCAGACATTGGTTCTACTCACCTGTAAGATACAGTGGGTCATAAAGGATTAGGAGTTAAAATACTGTGAATATATGGTGAATAGAAAGGCTTAATGACACAGGCTAGGAGCCTGAGTTCTGCATAGTAAGCAATGAGATCACGGAATGAAGTAGTACAAAGCCATTATACACAAGTGCAAGGAATCATTCTGCCCCCTTTGCACAAGTATTTCTAGATCCTACACTCCTTTGTACTGCACAGCTTTTGGGCAGCAAAATGTAAGTGGAGACAAAGACTGGCTGCAGAAGACAGCCTAGTTGACACGTGGCCCTGAGACTCATACCTCGTAACTCATGATGCACCAAGTAGCGAGTTACCTTTTTCTGAAGTTTTCTTCAGCTCCAGTTAAGCATTACATGCAGAGCTGACCTGAAAACACTTACTAATTGAATACCGCTTCTTCTAGCTCAGGCATGCTGTCAGGAGAGGGAATAAGTGTGCAAGGACTGTATGGAACAAGATTGCTTTTGATATCTAAATCTCATATTCAGAAAGCGGTGAACCCATGAGCCATCATTTAGGAAACACGAAGTTGTATGAGAAATTCATCTGACTGAAACTGCAGCACGTATGGAAGGAGACAATGCACTATTCACATCAAATGGCAGCAGTCAGACACACAGCACAGAGACTGCCCTAAGCAATGAAATGCCATCAAATGAATAGTCCTTGGCAGGCCAAGAGAACCATGCACGTACTTCAGTGCCACATGGACAGAGCTTACCAGAAAGGAGTATGCTGCTGCTGTGTTGTTGGGTTTTTTTTAAAACTAAATTTAAAAAACAAACAAGCAAATAAACAAGCAAAAAACCAATCCAAACTAAAGGCTGGGCTAAATCACTGGCATTTCATAGAGAGAAAACAAACAAGGAATTCCCAGTTCTAAGTAACCTTTGGAAATTAACTTCATGTTTACCCTCACCACATTTCTTTAGAAACTGAAACAAAATGTTTTCTACAACCAGGCGTGAGAAATTTTATGGTTTCTTCTCTCCACTCCCTGCTTGCTGTCAACCGTTTATGGGAAAAAAAGTATAACAAGAAACAAGATCTAGTTCCTACCCAGCTGAGAGGATGTGCTTTCAAGGGGCATGACCGCTGAAACAGAGCAGGCAGGACAGGTTTGTCCTAGTTGCACAGGATGAGGTACCTGACTTTTGCTGTCCTAAAGTCCAATGATGCCATCCTTTGAAAATCTGATACAAAATAAGTCATACAGCAAGCAAAAAGCATGCATCAAATTAAATAATTTCAAAAGATGAAGTTCTGTTCTGTACCTAGACTTTTTATTAAAAGGTACCACTTAGAAGTTATTATGCAACCATGGCATAATTCTACCATAATTTTTAAGATATGCTTGCTTCTTCTAAAAGAACTATATAATTATGACCAAGCAAACCTCTTTTTCCTAATCTTTTTAATACGTGCTTCAAGAATCTAAAAATGAGTAATACCTAACAATGATACTAAAATTAGAAAACAAGCACAGCTAGCTCTGAAGCAACAGCAGTGCAAGCAGAACTTTAAACTCATAAGAAATGTTCCTTCCAGCATATTGTTGTAAGGATTATTACAGCATTGTGAATTCATTGCTAACATGCATATACAAGCTAGAGCTGAAAAAAATATTGGATTTCTACTCACTAATTAAAAGTCTTTTCAAAAAATAATTAAAAAGTAATGATATTTCTCTCATTATTTCTCAGATAATGTAATGCTACCAAAACTGACTCAGAAGTATCAGAATATGAGAAATACCACTTCGTAGCAAAAAAAAAAAAAACCAACCAAACAATTTTTCAAAAAAAGTCTTGCTTCTTTTTTAAGACCATTGCTACCTTTCAGTGGATATTTTTGCATCATCTATTACAAGGCTTAACTTCACTTTTCTTAAACAGGCCTTCAGACATAAGTCTATGCGCACACTGTCTGCAGTTACCGCCTTCAACATTTATCTGCAGTATATTTCCATCTCCCACTGGCTTATTTTGTCATGCTTCAACTTAAAAACAGAAGACTAAATAATTTCAGATTCTAAGAATAACACATTACCCTTCAACACCATTTCATGCTTTCCAAGGTCCCTTAGAATAGAAAAGAACAGGACAGTTCCAGTTGGATGGGACTTACAGCGATCATCTAGTCCAGTTGCTTCACCACTTCAGGGCTGACCAAAAGTTAAAGCCTGTTATTAAGGGCATTATCCAAATGCTTCTTATCCACTGACAGGCTTGCAGCATGGACCACCTCCCTAGGAAGCCTGTTCCAGTGTCTGATCACACTCTCGGTAAAGAAACGTTTCCTAACATCAAGTCTGAGCCTCCCCTGAGGCAGCTTTGAACCATTCCCACACATCCTATCATTGGATCCCAGAGAGAAGGCACCAGCACCTCCCTCTCCACTTCCCCTTCTCAGGGAGCTGCAGAGAGCAAAGGAGTTGCTCCTCAGCTTCCATTTCTCCAAACTAGACAAGCCCAGAGTCCTCAGTTTCTCCTCACAGCACATGCCTTCTAGCCCTGTCACCAGCTTTGTCGTCCTCCTCTGGATGCATTCAAGGACCTTCACATCCTCCTTAAATCATAGGGCCCAGAAATTCACACTATACTCAAGGTGAGGTTCCCTTTGTCCTCTTACATTTGACAGTGTTTCCTTCCCTACAGGCTGCTCTCTAGAAGATGAAGGCGAGTGTTCCATTGATTGCTCTGTGTTTTTCTTATGCATTTCCATCTCAGAAGTACTGTCATCTTCCCCAGTCCATCTGTTCAGCTGCTTATCAACCAGCCTGTCAAGAAGCTGGGGTAGGTGATCTTCTTCAATTGATATTATTCTTTGGAGACGTGATGTTTTAGACATTCCTCCAGTGATTCCAGCATCAGGCTCTTCAGAAAGAACTCCATTCAGTCCAGCAGAATTCCTTCTCTTTGAGTTACTGAAAATATCATCTTCTTCAAATGAATGGCTAGACAGAGAAAGAAAGAAAGTACACCACAAAAACACATTGGAGCTGGGCTCCTACTATTTTATTCTAGTGTAACTGAATTTAATCTCCCATGTTTTTCACTACTCACAGCAAGCATAGTAGATTGAGTCCAATCTCTACTGAAGCAGAATTAGACATGAGATTAACCTCAGTTCTAACCTCATGGAATAGCTGAAGTATCTCTACTGTGATTTTCTCATTTGCCACTCCCCTCCTCCACTCCTGAGGAATAATATAGCCCCCCAACCCAGATCCTTTCTATGTGTAACCTAATTCTGTCTTTAGCAGGTAGGAGGGACATGGGTTTGTTCAACATGGATTAAAAAAAAGGCTAAGTGGGAATCCAGAGTCTTCTCAGGTGTGTGCAATGACCACAGATGCAAGCTGCAATAAAAGAAATGCCAACCTGATACAGGGAACAAAATTTCTTCAACAGACTGCTGCATCAAGGGAACAGGCACTCAAAGTGGCTGTGGAACCTTCAAAAACCCAAATGAACAAGGTCCTGAACAACCTTGACTAGCTAAGGAGTCAGACCTGCTTGAGGAGATTGTACTGGAGACATCAGAGGTCCTTCCTACCTAAATTTTAGCATGATTTTTTGTGCCATAACTGCTTCTGCCAATGATGCTCCACTTCTCAGTACTGAACATACTAAACTGTACCTCTGAAAGCTTTCCCTCCTTACAGTTCATGACCCAGTGCCTTCAGGGTCACTACCTTAGCTACTATTTCAAAGTGAAATACTAAGACTTTCCAGCTCCTCTCGTCTCAGAGGAAGTGCTAGTGTTTCACTGAGATTACCATCTTGTTCCTGTTGATTTCAAGTTTACAACTACACAATTGAGAATCAAATTCTTTGTGTTTTACTAGTTGCACATCTCATACTTTACAACAGGACTGACATTCTCTGCAGTGACAGGAGATGGACTCTTTCAGGAAGTTACCAAGGAAACCATACCCATCATACATGGGGTAATGGGACAGCTTTTGTGCCTCCCAGCATATAGTCATCCACAATGGAGAAATCCCTTGCCTTTGCAGTTTTATGTGAAAACTTGTCACTTTATTTTCAAATTTCTTAACAAGCCCAGCAATCTTATAGACACTTCAGAAATGCATGCTTTGAGAAGTCCAAAGGTATCAGAAAGAAAACATTCCTCATCTTCTTTCTATAAGCCTCGTCATACTCAAATAGGGAACACATGAAAAAAAAGTTCTTACCTGTTAGGCAGCATCTTCCCCTCTATGTATTTCCCAATGACAGACCCTGATCTTTGCTTCCAGCTGGCTTTTGGAACACTTGCTTTGCGTTTCTGCAGAAGTACAGAATACTTCTTACTAATTTACTCTTGTTCATTGTGGTTAACTGCCCTCATTCCTAATGCTTAAATAATGCAATGCATGTGAAAGAAAAAAATGTAAGAAAAAATCCTACAGGTATAAATGCTTCAGAATCCTGACTGATAAACAATCACAACAGGGAAACTCCAGATCTTGCAAGAATTCATCTGCTTTGTAAACTAAGTGGACCACAATAAAACAGCATAATGTCATGAAAAAAAAGTCAGTAGATATACTTTTTACACCAGCAGCTCTTGTAGGACTAAGAACACAAACAACTGTAAACTAAATGATCTTAGTCTCCTTACACCAGGATTCTTCTGGAACTTCTTAGGGGCCCATTCTCTGCTGCTGTTTAAAAAGTTAATATGATCTGCTCTTACCCAGTACCAATAGGTATTCACATACTGATTCAGGTACTCAGTTATTGTACTGTTGTATAAATGTTTCAGGATATTAGCTACCCTTGACTAAACAGATTAACACAATTTAGTCGTTAAATTTTTACATTATTTCATCCTCTTATGATGGCATTCTTAGTTTCTTCTAAACCACATTCATCTCTCTCCAGATAGCTCCAACTTTATAATTTTGAACATGTAGCTCTTAAAACTGTTCAGCAAACTTAAAAATCTTTTTCAAGTGAGAATAAAAGATAATACAAATTGAAAATGGAGCAAGATTTAAGTAGCACAAAAGTCTATCTCTGGCACAGCCTTCTGATCCCCTTTTTTTGAGGCTGTTCTGATATGTGTTTGCTCAACACTGGGTTTGAAAATAATAGCTGGTTACCTGTAAAAACATGTCACGTTCATCTTTGAGATGTTTGTTCATCTCTCTGTAAAGAGAACAAAAGAAACACTGAAGCCAAGTTTTAGAACTGCTGACCCTAATGAGCAGTCACTACAGCCTGAGTGAGCAGAAACAACCTCTGTTGTCAGATGTTTCTACCTATGTCCCCATTACTTGCAGCAGGCAAGATCATACCACATAGAGTCGCCTATGGAAAACTTACTGTAAAATAAGAGCCTTCTCTCAAGCATGTGAAATTTTTAGGTAACTTTAAAATGGGGTCTCCCAAAGGAAATGCAGTCAATGAAGGCAGGTGCAATGTATAGCCCATACAAACTGACTATTGAGCAAACAAAGCCTAACATTGCTGCACGTTAATGAGAGGGCTACAGTTGTCTGAACATAACTCCAAACTTTGAAGCCTATCAATAAGGAGAAAAAATGTTAGCTAACTTTATTTTTATAGCATTTTTCAAACAAGCATTTTGGGGAAAGAACATTTACTCTGGCTCAACTCCTACTGCTTCAGAAACAACAGAGCCTTTTAGCATGCTTCGTGTCCTGCAGCCAGGCTTCTACCACAGAACCAGCTTAGAACAGTTCACTGTTGTTCCATTTCACATTTGACTTTTGGAAAGGAGATTGTCCTGCAATACTGAATTGCCAAAACAAAGCATATCTTTCAGGTGTGTAGCCTTCTACCATATGCCAGAAAAGGGCATAAAAAAGTATTTTGTAATCATTTTTGCTATTTTTTGTGTCATTATCCTACAGCAAGTTGACCTTGACTGGCTGCCAGATATGCAGTCAGCCACTCTCTCACTCCCTTTCCTCAATATGACAAGGGAAGAAAATAAGATGGAAAAGCTTGTGGGTCAAGATAAGGACAAGAAGATTACTTAGCAACTTCCCTTACAGACAAAGCAGATTCAACTACAGGATGATGAGAAACAAAGCCAAAACTAAAATCACCTTCTCCCCAACTCCCTTTCTTCTCAGGCTCAACTTCACTCCTACACTCTCAGGTCTTCTACCTCCTTACCAATCCTCACCGGCACAGGGGCATGAGGAACGGTGGGGTTTGTGGTCAGTCCATAACAGCTTCTCTCTGTGGCTCCTTCCTCCTCACACTGTTCTCTTGCTCCAGTGTGGGTTCCCTCACACGGGTTACAGTCCTTCACAAACTGCTCCATGGGGTGCAGTCCTTTACAAATGGACAGCTTCAGTGTGGATCACCTATGGCCCACAGTTCCTGGCAGGAAACCTGTTCCTGCATGGGCTTCTCTACATGGGCCAAGCTCCTGCCAGGAGCCTGCTCTTGTATGGGCTCTGTCAGGCTACCAGGGACTCTCTGCTCCAGTGCCTGGAGCACCTTCTACCACACTTTCTTCATTGACCGTGGTATCTGAAGGGCTTTCTCACACATTTTTTCTCACTCCCCTCTCAAAAGCGCTTTGCTTCTCATTCTTACAGAGGCTTTCCCAGAAGCACCATCATGGCTGTGGGGTTCTGCTGTGCCCTGTGTTGTGTGTCAGCATGGGGCAGCCCCAGCCTCTTTGGCACAGAGACTGTCAGCACCTGGATACCTACACTCAGTACATATTCCAACATAATGTCATCCTTTAATATACCTCTTTAGAATGATGTAAGAAATTTTTGAATGTAAGGTCTGCATTACCTTAAAAGATCCAGCTGCTTCAGGAGCCCTGACTTCTCTCTCTGTAAGGTTTCTGTCACTCGGTATACTTCTCTGTAATAAAAAGAAAAAATAAAAAATTGTTCTAACCATGGTAAGAACACTGCTAAAATGCTTCCCCCTAGGAGTATCTACATTTGAGATTTCAGCTTGTCCAAACCTGTAGGTTATATTCTGCATGAATGGTTTTTCACTTTAAAACAATTTATTCAATACAAGGCCTAAAGTACCACAGCAGTTTGAGTTAGCAGAGGAAGGAGTAGAGGTTCTTTTTTAAAAAGATATGGTTTTTTTTTTACTTCTTCATCCAGAGAGCTTAATATATGTTGATACTGGCATTTGGAGCATTCAGAGAAGATATACTGCTGAAATACTTCTCACTCGTGGCCACTAAAAAACAGATAATATTTTATACAAAATTAGAGCTTATCTTGCTGCTGGAACCATATGTCAGGCTCACACACATCTACAATCCCTACAATTTCTTTCCAACTCCTGACAGTTATGCAGTCTTTTTAACATTATTTACTTTGACATAATGCAATTTGGTGTCTGGCCTTATCTGGTTTTTTTGCCTTTCAGTGAAGCCGCAAGTTCTTCCTGTGCACTGTCTGAACACTACACCTGCTTCAACAGCTCAGGTCTTACCAGACTGATACAGATGTTTAAAGCAACACTGCAGGTGCAGTTGAGTAGGGCTGAACTCTAATTCCATAAACCACTATTGAATCCAAAGTGCTTTGTAAATGCAGTAGTGTTATTCATCAGTCTGACCACTGGGCAGATTTCCTTTGTAGCTTTAAAATCAGATCATTCCATAGTCTTTGCTCTGGATCTGAAAAGAGAAGCCTCAAAGAGGAAACAAACCACCTTGAGGAGGAATATTTCTACTGTCTACTTCCAAAACACACATCAAACATGCAAACCTAAAAATAGTGTGTTCTAAACATGGTGGCCATTCCTTAACAATAATTAATCAAAATAGTTCATTATTTAAACTCTCAAGAACAAAAATATATATGTAATAACTAAGTAGAATCTGGCATAGAGCTTAAGAGAAAAAGAATATGACATTTGAACATGTTCCGCTCTACCCTGAAATATGTCGAACAACAAAAGCTCTGAGTTATACAGTTCATTGCTGAAATGGAGTCTGGCTAGATATGTCTGGCATTCATGTGCTCTCCATTGGTAGTGAGAGGGTTTTACAGATCCCTGAGCATTTATTTAAAATGAACTTCAGTGAACATTTCTGCCAATTACAGCTTCAGGGTAATATAACTTCTGCTTTGTGCAGAAGGCTGAAGGCAAGACAGGTAGATTGATATGTTACTTAAAGGTCATTTCTATCCCTCAAAATACAAATCGTAAATATTTCTTCTTGATTTTTTTTTAATTCAGAGTCAGAATCTGAAATCCACAAATTTGAACCAGAACCCCTAAAATTATTAAGCTTTGTGTGAATTGTGATAAGCTACATTTTACCTTGCTGGCCAGGCTCCTTGGTTAGAAATTATATACTAGGCATACTTTTGATGAAGAAAAAAGTAGATCCTAGGTGACTCATAGACAGAGTGCATTCTGAGAACCAAGTTTCAGATAGACTTAGCTTTGAGTAGGATGGAGCATCATGTGCCACAGCTGTAATATCTGTAAGGAATCCCACTGGTATTTCAAAGCTAAGACATTAAACTGATTTTTAATTCCAAATAACTTCAACAAATGGAAGGGGGAAGAACACTGACATTTTGAACACAGAAAAAGATTCTGTAGAAGACAGATATGCTACAGAAAGCATGCTGAATTACTTGGGGGGAAATGGCTAGAACCGCACGGGGCTTTGCTGGTGGTGTCTGCTTATGACACAAGCTTAAATCACTGCATTGAATACCCTGAGAAAGAGGCTCACTGCCACACTAAGCAAATGCACTAGAACTACTGCAGCTGGAGACTTACATTTCCTTCTCCTCATGTAGTCTTGATGCCTCCTTCTGAAGCACCTCCAACTGTTGTTGAGCCAGGCTTAGTTCATGAGATGTTCTCTCCAGATCTTTCAACAGCTCCTGGTTAGTCAGCTTCAGCTTGGTGTTCTCTACTTTGGTTTCTTCTTTGCCACTGAGGAGTTCTGTACATTGATGCTCTAGCTGAGGTGGAAGAAAAGAGAGCAGAAAGTATTATAACTAACCAAGGCATCTTGGTTTTGAGGTTATCAATTCAAATCTCAAAGGTTAGTTGAACAGGGAAGCTATTTCTATCAAAGCCAAAATATGAATAAAGCACATATGGTGCTCTTCCATTGCTCTTTGTACAGACATAACTAGGTTACACAAAAACAAAGCCATTCCACTCTATGACTGAATTTCATCCAGTTCAAAAATGCACCAGGACAAACCATAAGAAAAGGTGCTACAGATCAGCAGCACCTAGTTGATATTCACAAGTGCTATTTTAGACCATTTCCCACAAAGGCAAGGCCTACACAGAGTGATTCAGAGGTCTGTCTAAAAACTGAATTAGAGCTTTTTTATTCACTTTTACATTCAATTTCCAAAGTACATCAAAGGAAAGATACACCTTCCCTCTGAAACAGGTAACAGCAGATGACAGTGGTCTCTGGTATATAAAGAAGTTCTACCTGCTTCTCCCTGGCTAACTGAGCAAATTTAGATGGCAGAGCAAAAGTTCGTATTAGAGAAGACACTGCTGACCTAAAAATACAAAAGATTTATTTTATTTTATGTTATGTATGCTCTTTAAGGGATGTAAAATGTACTAGGACCACTACAACGATACCACCTCAATCTTCCAGACCTGGTCCAAACTTACTTCCATCCCCTCATACAAGATTCAGTGCCCTAGATGTTACGCTGGACATCCCCTGTCCCCAGTGCCTCCTTCTGAGACATTCCATCGCACATCCCTTGAGGAACAAGAGATGAGAATACCTTGTATATTATCTAAGCCATATAGTGTAAGCTGACACTTCAAGATCATGGCAGTCAGCAAAAGGCCTAGACAAAGTATCTTGGCCAGTCAACATGGAATCAGACCCGTATTCCAGTTATGCCAGGCAGGAGACCCTCATAAGGGAGAATCCCCCTGACTATGTCCGCAGAAACAACACTGAAGTCATCTGGTTTGGAAGTTCCCTTTCACATTTTTGATAATAATGTCCAACACAGGAATAATTGCACTGCAGTAAAAAAAATTTAAAAAAAAGAAGACTTATGAATGAAGTTTGGAAAAAAGCATTTGTATTACTCCCAAGAGGTTCTCTCATACAATCAAGCATGGAAGTTTTAATGCAATCAAGCTACCATTACTGTCTGCAAGAACAGATTTAATTATCAAAGTACATTTTCATGCTAGAGGAAGAGGTAAAAGCGACAGCGATATCTCTCAATAAGGCAAGCCTTAGACAGTGCACATGGATATCCAGGTGAATGAAAAGTAATATCAGAAAATGAGTAGGGAGAAGGTACTATAAAACCAGATCTGAATAAAGATGAATGTCACTTTCAGAGAAGTTCATTAGAAATTAGAAAAACATATGTAGAAAACACTGCCAATAACTACACTGAGTAGCGCATTCAAATAAATAGGTTAGGTTGATAAACCAGGGGAAAAAAAACCCCAAACCATCAAATACTACATATCAGATTAACAATGGGCCAATCAACTGGTTGAATGACAAAAGTTTCAATTGTTATCAATCATCTGAATAAAATTATCTCACTCATCACATCATCAGAAATAGTGAATTCCAGTAGTCTAACACAGCTTCTGTTCTATAAAAATAAAATGGTATAGTTTAATTTGTATGGTAGTATGAAGATCCTGTCCTTCAAAGGCACCCTTGTTGTGATTCATGCAAATTCATAAGGGAGAGGGGAAATAATAAATAGTAGAAATTACAGATAAAATAAAAATCACAGTAATATTATTAATAATAAGCAATGCAGTGAATAGAAAAGCAAAATATAAAATCAGATTAAAAATAATACTAATAAAAATAGCACAGACATTGTTTTATGTCCTCTGAGATAGGCAATAGTAGACAATGGCAATGTAGACAATACTCGTAAGATAAGACTTCCTGATACTATTGCCTGTATTTCTTTATTATACCACGCTTAAAATTGAGTGCAAGCCTTTGAATAGCTTCTGTGAGTTTTTGGCAAATTTAGAAAAAACATACTTAAAAAAACACACAAAAAGGTTTTCACAGAATTACTGGTTGATAACTAAGTTTCAAACATAGCTTTAAAGCAAAAACAAACAAAGGAAAATATTAAAATATAATCAGTACAGAAGTATAATAAGTAATTTCTTGTATTTTTTTGTAGTTAGCTTCAGACTAAAAATCCCTGATCTGCGTGCCCCCACAGATATCTTCCAAGCATAGATTATTTCACTATAGAGCTGCAATGTGGTAAACAGCCTGCATAAAACCACATTTATTCTGATTCACGATTGTACCAAACAAGGGTAATTAACATCAGGCAGTTGATTTCAATAATGGAATGGCCTTTTAGTTCGCTTCTATATCCTCATTAGCTAAACTTCATAGAATCACAGAATGGCTCAACATCCTGTCCAGCTGAATTTAAGAGTGTCCAATGTTGGGGAATCCACCACTTCCCTGGGGAGTTTATTCCAAAGGCTGATGGTTCTCATAGTGAAAAATTTTTATCTTGTGTCCAAACAAAGTCTCCCAGGGACCCATCACCCATCTTTTCCATGTGATTCCTTGTAAAAAGGGAATGTCCACCTTTTTTGTAGCCCCCCTTTAAATATTGGAACACGGTCTCCTCTAAGTCTTCTATTCTCAAGACTGAACAAATCCAGTTCTCTCAGCTCTTCCTTACATGCCAGGCTTCCTAGTCCTTTAATCAACTTTGTGACGCTTCCCTGGAACCTCTCCAGCCTGTCCACATCTATTTTGTATAGCTGGGACGAAAACTGAACATGGCATTACAGGTGTGATTGGACAAGCGCTGAGTGGAGTGGAATAATTCCTGTTGGTTGATACAACCCAGCATCTTGGTAGCCTTTCTCTGCTGCAACAGCACACTGTTCACTCATATTGAGCTTGTTGTCCACCAGGAGCCCTAAGTCCCTTTCCACAGAATTGCTCCCCAGCCAGGTAGATCCCAGCCTGTTCTGCACTCCTGGATTAAGTTTTCCCAGGTATTACACTTGTGTTTGTTGAACTTCAGATTCCTGTTAGCCCATTCCTGCAGCCTATGCAGGTCTTCCTGAAGGTAGGCTCTCTCTTCCAAAGTGTCCGCTTCCCCACTCAGTTTGGTATTATCAGCAAACTTCATCAGGGTACACTTTATGGCATAATCCAGATCACTTCAGAAAATATTAAGCAGCCTTGGGCCCAGTATCAATCTCTGCTGGACTCCCCTTGTACCAGGTTGCCAGTGTGAAAAAGAGCTATTTACCATCACCCCTCAATACTTCCTGTCAGCCAGTTCCCCATCCACCGCAGGGAACACTTGTCCAGACCATCAGTTTCTCCAGGAGAATGCGTGGGAAACCTTATCAAAAGCCTTGGAGAAATCCAAGTAGTGTCCACGGATTGCCCCACATCAACTAAGCAGGTTACTTTTTCGTAGAAGGCAAACAGGTTTTTCAACCTTGGTAAATCCACACTGGCTTTTACCAATCACGTGCTTCATTTGACTTGTGACAGCCCCCCAGGATAGCCCTAACTTGCATAGTCATAGTAAGCTAGAGGTTTGTCTCTCCTCTTATTCAAGTACAATTCCCATCAGCTTCAGCAGTACCCGGATTCATTCCTCAGAAGAGGATCTAAATACTACATACAACTAGGAAACTCCCCTCAAACTTCTTTTTCCTCTTCTTTCCCTTCCCCTCTTCTGCTTCTCAGGATCAGCACTCCCAAGCACTGCTGCTAGGAAAAAATTTTATATGTATTTTATAATCATATCCTACAGAGGGAATGGGGTTTACAGCATTCCATTTCAGCCCTTTAAATCCCTTTCCCTATTGCTAGTTTTTCCTGCACTGACCTTGAAGACACTTCACAGGAAGTTCACACATTCAGAAATACTCTGCTTCTCCAAGCAGGCCATGCATTGTAAGAAGTAAACGCATCAGGTTTTCATATGGGAATTTGACAAGCTGTTACCATGCAAGAGAACCATGCATTGCTATAAAACTGTTATCACAGAGATATATCAGGAGCAGTTTGTTCAGGAGGGAGCATTTCAAGTTCATAGTGCTGAATTGTCCAAAACAAGTAAATGAGTGGTTGGTAGAAGTTTGGAGCAAAGGTATACACTGGAAGAGACAAATCATTGCTCTCTGCTCTTGAGTTGTCTGGGTATTAAGCCAGTTCCTAGCACATTGAAGACAGTGAAATTCTGCTACATTTTCATAAAATTAACCTTCTACCTGGAGAGAATATCCAAAACATGTTTTTCATTATAACAAATAAAAGGAAAATTACTCTACAAATAGAGGGTAACATTTTTCCTAAGCACATGACAAAAAAGCAACAGAGGGTGACAGTTTGGCAGAACCACATCACATCAACTTGGAGTTTTGGGACCTGAAATAGTACCTAAATAAAATCACATGAACAAATAAGAGTTATCTATTTTTTAACTCTGAAGGATATCAGTTAGTACCCTTTTCTGTTTTTGAACCAATTGTTCCAGTTCTTGTTCCTTTGACAGCAGCTTGCACTCCAGCTCCTTACTGTAGGACTGAAACCTCTCTGTGTTCTGAAAAATTCAAAGAGGAAATGGATTAACAGAACAGCACAATTGCATCAGCAGAAGGAGAAAAAGAATCAGGCATGAAAAGAACAGACAAGCTTTCCACAGTGAAAATAATGAGATATGGGTAGAACTCAATTGAGGGATAGTATCACTCATGAATCAAGATTCTGAGCTTCTGTAAACTGGTGTAGCCCAGCAACTCCAAAGTATGCAGCTGCTACGGAATGCGCTGATTGCACATGAGTAGGCATCCAGTCTACAAAAGGAGGCAAAGTCTTCTATCTTAGGCATGAGCCTTAGGAGCTTAGCCAGTCTAAATCAATGAAGCCAGAATGTCTCCTCTCATTTCCAGCCACACATACCCTTATGCTCCTATCCATTACCATTAATGTTCATCGATTGCAGCAGTGAGCAGCTTCTGAGAGCTAAACAAACCGGAAAAAAAACCAGCAATAGAGTGAATAGATTTCTGCACATTTGTTTTCCTGAACTAGACACTGCTGGCACAGAGAAGTGATGAGACTGCACCAATAAAAACAACCTGGATAAATGTATTATAGAGTCTTATGGAATCATACTGTAACTCAGATACAAGATACCAGGTTTGACATGGGAAATACAGAATACAGTACAGTAGCTCAGGTTGAAGGTAAAAAGAAACAATACCTGCCATGTTTAAAATCCATCACTAACAACAATTTGTCACAGATGTTCCACTGGTATAAACAAGTGATTGGGGCTTCAAGATGTGCCTTTCACTTTGCAATTACATCAACCTGTCCATTATCTAAAAATCCTGCAATTACTAGGAACTCACAGTCATATATGGAATTACTCCTTCAGACACTACCCAGCTGACACAAATTGTCAGACCTCCTCTGAGTAAAATCGGGTTCCAGCAATACATATCAGCTGAGAATCTGTGCTATTCCTCCACATTAGGCTTCTACTCCCCAAAGTCCCCAGGAAAATGCTTCTAAACAAAAATAAAAATTCCCTCAGGACAGCAGTAGTTCTTACATGCATTTCCCCTTCAGCAGTACATGTAATGGGGTAATCAAATGCATAATAATTGGCTTCTTCTGTGGAAGAATATATATCCAAGCGAGAAAGACAGAGTAACTGCCCCTTTTGTATAACCTTCAGTCAGCAGGGTACTAAGTATTGTAAATAGCTACAATTTGTACTTATTTGCATCTTACCGATTTCTTTAAATGTATTCTTCAAGAGCTGCTCTTCATTCAAGCTATTATAATTTCCCCTTTATATGGCATCAATGCATCTCTCCAGGCCGTAAAGTCTTTGTAAGACTTTGCATTAGAGAAAGAATTTAACAGCCAGATCCCCCCAGATCCCAAATTAATCATGCCAAGAAACAATACTTCTTGAGTGTCTGGTAACCCTTAGTGTGAATGCTGACTACACTAAATAGCTTGAGTGGGAAGCTTTAACGAAAAAGCCTGAAAGAAATGGCTTTACCTCAAATATACAACTAATTAGGAGACCAACAATCACTGCTTACAGAAAAGTCTTTGTTGTTTTAGGGGGTTTAATACCACTTCAGTTGTGGGGTATTAAGAGCATATAAACAATTTTTTCCACAAAAGTGCTGTCAGGCAAAGTTGCAAATACATTTTATGCTTCAGCTGATACACAAACTTTATATAAAGGTTCATCTCACCCACTGCTAAAAACTGCTCTCAGCTAGGAATGCAAAAAACTTGAAAATTTGAGTCAGGTTCATTAGTGTGTGAGGCAAGTAAAAAGAATGGTTCCTTAGACAGCTGATAAAAGCTAATAAAATACTTGATATATTTAGGGGGAAAAAGGAAGTTTTAGATATCATATCTGATTGCAAATGGAGACAATAACCACTATTTTGGCAACATTTTGTGTATCATGTTGCTGAAACCCTATATTGCTGTCATTTATATGGCTGATGCCAAGACAACAAAAAGGCATAAGCCAGTAGCTCATGATGGATTGTCCCAGGCCACCCAGAGCAGCTGTGGAAACAGCAGCATATCAGTACTCAAAACTTAACTGGACAAGTCCCTGAGCAACCTGATCTAGTTGGAAAGTTAGGAGTTCCACAGGAGCCTTCCCACCCATGATTCTAAAATTACTCTTTCCTGAAGCATACTGGAAGTTCTTGTTACTTTCCTTGTTTTACAAGAAAAAGCAGGAAAGAAAAATCCAAAGAAAAGACTACAAATGCAGTAGAGGAGATTTAAAGAAAACTTTGCAAGAAAAGGGAATTCATTTTCAGGTGTTCTGGAGGCACCATGGCAGTGACAAAAGAATCTGACCTATTTGCTATTTTTCAAATAGCTGTGGTGGTTTCAGAAGTTACCATCACTTGAATCATCTCTTGTTGCTCTTCAGTGAGATCCTATCTCCTCCCAAAAAGCAGAAACTATAGAATTCAACAGGTTTGGTGCTGCTCTGAACAACCTCAAAGAGCATTTTTCCTAATTGCGACCAGAAGTTGAAACTATAGCAACACCAGTAATACAGTGTTTGTAATTTAAGTGATTTCCAAAAGAATGCCAGCTGCTACTGTATGCCAACCACTGAGTACAGGACATCAATGTCCCTCTCATCCAAGTCACTTAGTTTGAAGCTGCAGAGACTGGATCAGTACAGAAGCAACTGTGAGGGAAAAGATGTTTTTTCTCATTTTGTTGTGAAATGCATTTTGTGGGCTTTGACACCCAGAATGAGTATGAAACCACTGAAAGAGGAAGCAGAATTCATGCCCACAATAACAAAGAGACACTCACTTTCAACAGAAACTGCTCTTTCTCCTTTTTGATTTGCTGTTCCATTTCCTCATAGAGATGTTGAATTTCTTCAGCATAAGCAGCAATTTTCCTAACAAGAGATAAAAGTATAATGACTGGGTCTTAGTAGCATTACTTCAAGTCATGGTTCACATTATGAACTGAGCTCCACATTTCTGCCTTAACACAGGACTCCAACAAATGTTCTAGTATCAAGGAAGTAGGAATTTTTGTGTAGCAAAGTTCACAGATTAATTTTTTTTTCTCTTGTGGAAGGAAAGCTTCAACAGTTCAAAAGCTCATATAAAGCTACACATCTGATGTTTCCACACAAAGCACCTGTTTGTTATGCAGTTATAATGACTACTAAATCTTATGTATAAGGAACAGACAATACTAAGAATATCAGAGCCTAAGTTTGCCAATTAAAATTATTTTCACTGTAACTTCCATTTCTTTTTACTCTGGAACTGCATTATTCCCCACTCAAGAGCACTGAATGAAGTACTTCTATCATGTCTAAGATATGTTAGCTAGAACAGAATTCTTGAAAGACCTTCTTGAAAGCTGCCTTACTGCCTCTCTGACAGCTTTGCTGAAACAAATTTGAAAAGCCCAGATGAGGAATAGAAATAAACATGCTGTGCACAAGTGTATGTGACTGTAGGAAAAAAGAAGTACCAACAAAGTTCGCTTTTTTCACAATAGAATTTTGCAATTAATATCACTGCAGTTTTATACATGAAGAATTACATTGAACAGAGGCTTTAGCTTGGGCAGAAAAAATTTAGCTGTTGACAGGGAACAAGACATCTGCTTTGCTCTGCTACTGTTCTATTCTACCATATTATATTTTCATTAATCCAGAAACTGAAAAGCAAAAATCACTTTGTATCAAACTCAGGGGACATCCTAGAGAGATTATTAATAGAGATTCATAGGGTCTTTATATGACACTACTGTATATTCCCCCATATTTTTTTTGCCATAGATGTTACTTGAGCAATCTGCATAATGCATCTATTACAAGTAAAGTACATAATCTCCATGGGCATTCACATCAGTAAGAGCAAGACAAAAAATATACAGTAGAAAGAAAAACCCCAACATTGATTTTGTAATCAGGGTATCTTTTTTTCTTTTTCCTCAATGCCCTACATTTTCTGTTTTCACTTATTGAAGGCCTGGTTCTCTTCTCAGTTAGAGCAAAGCAAATTGGAAAGACACTTCAAAAAATTTACCTAAGCTAAGAAGAGTGAGCAAAACCAGAAACAAGTCTTTCCTTTCCTCTTTCAAACAACAGAACACTTGACACTGCCAGCTTGCATTTTCAGTCACAGGTAAAAAATGTGAGGGGAGACATTTTTTCAGGATTTGCAGCGGCAATAAACAAATGGCAAGCTATACGAATTTGAGGAAAACGATGGCTGTCACTTAGACTTTTTAAAACTCTGACCAGGTGAGAAAAGCAGCTCAGACAAGGACCTCTTCATCTGACTGCACCACTTCAAATAGAGAGTGCCAGAAAATCCAGAAGCCCTTTTTGCTGCCTGACTCCTCTTACAGTGTAAAGATGGGTTGTGTTCTGATCTTAAATTTTATTTTCTTCAAAATATGAAAATGCTTCATAAGAAATTAGCACTCATCAATGGAATAAAATTAACACAAATTCATAAAGAAATAAAAATTACTTAGAAAGGTATGGCAGAGATGCTAAGATCATATACCTACTGTATTCATGCAGTATAAGGTCACTTTGACTAGGGCTAGATTGACTATGTACTGAAAAATCCTGTAACTTTGCACAGGCAGAACACATTGCACAGCAGTCAGTGTTTCCATGGGAATCATAAAGATTTTCTTTGCTTCTGTGTGACAGGGAGAATAACTTTAGTCCCGTATTATTAAGCTGCTGATTTAGTTATTTCTTTCCTCTTATGTGTTTGGAAGCGAAGGATATGGCAGCAGCATCAAGACTACATCCAGGAGGCACTGCTGAATGTAGGAATCTTTTTAGTTGGTCTGGCACATAAGCACACGCCATTTCTGCAGGCTGAATACTCCCCAAGGATTTTATTCATGGCTTACCATTCTTAACTCTGATCAAATTAAACAGAAAGGGATAAAAAATATCCTGTTATAATCCAAAGTGTAACACAATAATAAGTAACATAACTAACTAGCAGCAGAAAAAATAATCCAACACATTAGCTGGTAAATATTCCCCACATATAATCAGGGGAAAAAACATGGAGCTATAAGGGTATATCATTGTTATGTGAAAAATGCAACAAGTTTTGATTAAAATCTCTATTCCCTGGGATCATCCCATCTAGTTTTACTTAACGTATTATTGTGTAGCTTCAGTAATATTTGATAATGTGATCTTTTACCAGTAATGCTGTGAAACAAACAGATGGAGACAAAAGGAGATGGAATGTAACATGAGTTCACTAAGTTCAGATGAGAGTTCAGGATCAACAGACTCACAAGGGTTTAATTTCTGCTCGTTCATGTAGCTGAAATGTGAATTGTTCTTTCTCCTTAAAAAAACACAGTGATTTGTGCACACTGTGCATTAATGTTCTGAGATGCTCATTCTCCTCTTCCACAAAGATTGACTCTGACACTGTCCCATGCTAAGCCCATGAGAAGACAGTTATCCTTCCACTTCCCCTTTATACTTTTGTTTATCTTCTCAGTTGAGAACCGGTTTGAAACACAACCCATGTTTATACTAGGTTTTTCTTTCAAATGCAAAGCACAGCAGCAGACAGAGCTAATGGCAGTTGAAGATTTTATCTGTTATAAGAAAAAGCTCTTTCTCATCTCTTTTAAGCTTACTTCCTATCAGTCTTACTAAATGCCCCTTGGTTCTACTGCCAGGGATTTGAAGAATAACAAAGTCTGTCATATCCCACTCCAGCCTTAGCCTCCTTATTCAAGAGATCCGACCTTCTAAAAATAGCTCTGTCAGAATAGCTGGTCTATTCCTTTAACCACTGAGTTGCCATTCTCTGTACTTTTCTTTATCCCACTACATTCTCCTAGTGTTGCACAGAACTTTACACAGTACTAAGATTCCATGTAGTGGCAAAAACATGCTTTGTCATGTGCTCAGTACCCTCCCTGATAATGCACAACAGTTTACTGGGGTCTTTGGGCTGCCACTGCACCATGAACTGATGATTCCAGGAAGCTCTCTGCAATAATCCCAAGTGCTTTCTCTGGAATTATAACTGCCCATGATGTAAGCATGACTTTTATCTTCCTTACAGTCATCTACTGCTTTTTTGCTCATCACAATATTATTTAAAAATCACTACTGCTAAATTTAAGAAGCCATCTAATTTTAAATTAGCACTTCAAAATAAATATGAATACCAGAAAATCAAGCAGAACTAACTTATCCTAGCAAAGAAAAATTGTATCCACAGAATCACATTCCGTTTAGATTTAAAAATCACAATCTTTTTTTCTTTCTAGATTAGCCTGCACATTCTCCCATGTGTGGTGTATTTGCATGTTTGTGTATTAAGAATATATGTACAGCCTCACTACTGCCCAGACCTACAAACAGGACAGCATCAGCGTACTGTATGTATTGAACCAGAACAGGAGGAAATCCCTGAGTCTCTTAGATCATGGGCCTCAAGTTCAGGAATGAAAATATGCATGTGGGAAAGCTCCAGAAGAAAAGACAAAAAACAGACAGAGAAGAACATCGTGGATTGACAGCATAGATTGTCACAGGGCAAAGATCCCAGCATAAGCACATGAAGGTTCTCAGGGCATCCAGGATAGGAAAAAAAGGACCAACTTAAGACAAAAGCACAGCCTACATCCAGGAAAGGAGACAAAAGGCTGAGAGTAGACTGCCTTATTGCCTAATGACTCACAGAGGTGAGGCAGAAAGGAAAGATGAAAGATCACATTATTCATATTCACTTTCCAAAGGCTATTATTGTTGCCAATCAAGAACAACCCAGGACATTATAAGACCTCAATAACCAGCACCCCTTATCTTCTGTGACCCCACAGTAAATGCTTGCCAGTCTATCCAGATACATACATGTTAGTGCTAGTAAGTATATGGGTATTAAAAAAATAATTTTCCCCCTTTATGTGGTCTTGTTTCGAGCTTTGCTGTTATTTGTACATGGTTTAAAAGAAAATAAGTTATTCATCCCCACTGTTACTAAAGACAACATTACTACTCCGACTTCTTCCAGCTATTGACTACAAACAAAACAACAATGTATTTGCTGAAATTAGAGGCGTTATTGGGATCAACAAAAAGAAAAAATTAGTTAAAACCTGTTTTTACTATAAAAGTATAAAAATCCAATGGATTTTTAAGATAGAGATTTCACATCAGCCAGAAAAAATAATGCTAATGCATTCTCTGTGCACCTCTGTGCTGAGCACAGCTATTAAACAGAAAAAATTTATTCACTCAGTTCCCAAAAAACCACTCACAAAAATCCCAAACAAAACCACAAAAACAAACCCCTAACCACACATGGTAGTTAACAATCTCTAGTCTAAAAGAGACAGCAAAAGTCTCTGTATGCTGTTTCCGACTGACTAGCTGTCTGAAGGCTAAAACCACACTTGTAGACTTAGATGAAAATGCTACTATCAATATAAACCAATTGTCTTTAATGACCATACAGTTTTAGGTCTTTTTCTTCTTCATAAGCCTTCTCACATTCTCAGAATAGCCAGGAGAGTGCAGAACAAATGAAGTAAATGTTCAACAATATATTTGCCTTTGTTACTCAAGCTGTAAGATTCTGAAATTCAGAAGTGGCACTTCACAATAAAAATACACTGGAACTTCAACTATAACCATAATTTTGCATTCTGTTTCAATTTCGCATAACAACTTTTTTCCCCCGGGTAGCTATATATTAAAGGGTGATCTATTAATTTTTAGTTCTTATATATTTTTATATATGTGTATTTTATGTATTTGTTTATATACATATATGTTTACATATAAAACAAATACATATTATTTACTATATTTCATAGGCTTGCTTTATAGATATATATTTGTTAACTTATATTTTCACTAATATCAGTACTTTGTGCTGCTTTAACATCTTAAACCTCTTACGTGTCTGGCCAGTTAATCCAGATTTATAGCTTTTCTGCACGCAGGGTTTTCAAAGCACACGGACAATTTACCAGATTTACTGGTAAATCTGACCGTCCTCTGGAATCAAACTGATTAACTAGATTGGAATTGCTTAATATTGTCTTAAAACTTCAATGCAATAATAGACATCTTCAAAAGAATTGCAGTCAACAAAATCTGTTAACTGGAAGAGAAAAGCTAATTTCATCCAGTTCTGCATTACAAATAATTTTATCAGTACTCTTCATGACTAATAAAATATTACATAATGGGAACTCTTGCCCTCCATTCTCCACTGAAATACCTTGTTTACTTCAGAAGTTCAAACAGTAGGTAAGATAGTTGTAAAACTACACAAACGGTCTAACAAAGAGAAGTACTAACTTTTTTAGAGCGTATTCCAACTCATTCTTCTCATTATCTGCTTCTTGGAGCTGGGAGAAAATTCTGACCAAGAGCTCTTCAAAATTGGAAAGTAAATGAGGTTCATCTTTTCTTAGCTGCAACCAAAGTTGCTTCACATCACTCTCACTGAAAGTAGAGATCATAAAGGATTCATTAAGAGAGAACATTTCTCCGGCTGCAATAAATGTTCACAGCATCCTAGCAGACGGAGGCTTAAGGGCATCACTAGTCAGAATACACAACTTATTAAAAACAAGGGCTACTTAAACTGTGCCAGATTTGAAAAGGATGAAGTGGATGGGAAATGATGGAAATTGCATTTATTCAAAAAAATGCATCATAATGTACAGTCATTCACGGCTGCAGATTATCACAGGATCTGCCCGTCTAGTGAGTGCCTTGCCAGACACTTCATCTGAACAGGAATGGATAAGAAAGGAGACAGATGAGATACAATGTGCCATCCCATCACTTCTATTAGAAGTAAAGAGGTTTCCACGAATCTACGGCGAAGGGAGCAGTGCAAAAGGTAATCAAAACCCCTTCCTCATAAGTTACTTAGACATGTTAAGAAATTGTGTTTGTACTGACTTCTTTCATTTTCAACACATTTTGATTCTACTGTGAGTCTGCTACAAAAATCAGAATAAAATGTCTTGAAATTTCAATTTGAAGATTTACCAAGATAATGTTGTGTTTCCAAATATGTTCAGCAGATTCTGGAAAAAAGAAGCTCTACTGTGAATGACGATGGGTTTCCTAATACTTTCCCTATGTTCCCCCTAACAACTTTTTTGTTTGTTTATTCTTGACTCACTCTCTTTCATGTGCATTGTAAGCCTGAACCTAGCCAGCAAAGAGTGCTATATTTAAAGGACAAATTGAGGATAAGGATAGAAAAAGTGGGTGATGAAAATCTCTTCAAAATGAAAGCCTTTCAGCATGACTGACAACCAGCTGTTACCTATAACAGGCAATCAGGTGAAGAGAAGGACTGAGGAGCACTATAATTTCATGGTAAGAATCACTGATGTATTTCTTAAATATTCCTACCATCTGTGCAGACTCTCCCATTTTTGCTCCATGCTTTTTTTTGTTCTAGAACATTCCTTGTGGTTGAACAAAGAATGTCAGGCCTACACACAAAAAGATCCTAGTGCAGGTTTTACATTCCATGTTTCAGAGTGAGCCATCCTGGCCCTGGAAAAGATAGTGTTATCAGAACAATCACAACATGCAATTATGCATGAAGGGGAGTAAAGGCAGAAAAACAGGAGAAAACTTCCTTTCCTGTGGTTATCTGCTGCACTTTAAACACAGGCCTTGCCAAAAAAAAGCAGTCATCATGCATTGTTTGATTGAAAATCAGTGGCATCTGTGGATTATATGCTAATTATGTTCAAAACCCATGACACATAAAATAGTTTAGCTTTCATATGGCAGAAAAACAAGTTTCATATGCTTGTAGTACAATAGTTTTGCTCTTGGAAATTTTGGTACTTTAACTGACAACCAAGAAAATTAATATTTTTAAGAATCACTGTGTTACTGAGCAGTCTTGGTTCTCGTTATTTACCTTGGATTCAATTAAAGTCAAACCTAGAGATTAATTATAAAAAATCATACAATTGATTACTATTGCTGCAAAGACTCACTCATTCAAAACCTTTTTAGCTCCAAGCCGATCCATCAGATTGGAGAACTGGAATTCTTCATCCTCATCATCACCCACGGTCTCTTTGCATATAATTGGGCAGGCTGCTTCACCTTCTGATTGCTGCATCATGTCATTTTTCAAAGTAATCTGCTCCAAAAGAAACTGGCCTAAGAATTAGAAATTACACATATTAGCATTTTCAGAACTCAACTATAAGAAGCAATGTAATCCTAAATATACTAAAGATCAAATTTTACAGTAAGTATAATTTGTGAGGGAAACACCTACACTTGTTTACAGGCAGAGTATAATGAGGATGAGGCATGGCAAGAGGATCTCGAGTTCTGTGGCTGACTTTGTGCCCACTTTAATGTCTAACCTTCAGTAAATAACTCACTTCAAAATTCAAAAACCTAATGAAAAAATTCATATCTCCATACAAAAAAACCCCATAAATTGTAGTAAAAAGCACTTCAAAAATTTGTGGCCACATTTTTTGATATGTTTAAATAGATGTCTGGAATCTAAAATAACCATAGCATCGGTAAAACATACATCAAATAAAATGTAACATTCTTTTTAATGCATGACCAAAGGCACACTTCAAATTCCTAAATAAATTGCATACAGAAATCTACATTTTATTAACAGTAGTTGTACAGTGAGGATGCAGAAGTGAAATTGCCACATGAATAATCAATACACTTGTGCTCGGTTGAGGCAGACCAGATACATTCCATCAAGTTCTAAATGTGCCAGCTATTTTATTTGAATATTTGCAAGTCAAAATTTTTAAGGAATATAGGCAAAGGGGGTATGCAGAGGATTTTTTGTTATATTCTAAACACCAGTACAGAAGTTACCATAGACACAAGGAAACAGAAATACTGGTGTGGTTTTATGGTCTTATTAACTCCATCCTGCATTTTTTCTCATAGCACCCAGCAGAGAATGTTGACAACAGAATAGAATATGCTGCAAAGAAAGGCTACAGTAAATTTCAGATTTATCACCATTTACGAATACGAACAGGATTCTCCCATAATAATTGGTGCAGTACAATTTTTATCCAGACACTACTCTGCTTTCTCTACGCTCTAGCTTTCTATAGCAGCCTATATCTAGTACAGCTACTGCTTCTGCTAGGAGTACCAGCATCATCACCCACCCAAATGTATGACTACCTAGCCTGGAAAATACCTGTGAATGCTGTGTAGAAGGTTAAAATGTACCATGCTTTACACTGTCTATCCTTATGTCTTTTGTGAATCCTATACATAGGTGCTGTGTCCATGTCCTTTGTGTGCTTGTGTGTGTGCAAGTGTGGGTGCCTCTGGGATACACATTTAACTTCAATGACAGTTGAACCTGCAAACAGGAGAGCAGTGGCCACATCCCCCTTGTTCTCTGGACTGGGCTCCAGCAGTTGAGCAGAAGCAATCTCCAGGATCTGGAGCTGCTGGAGATGGGAGCCACTTACAACCTCACTTAATAAACAGTTTTTGTTTTGCAGGGAATACTTATGAAAATAATCTTCATTTAACCTAAGAAATATGTATCATTTACTTGTGAAAAGTAAAGCAGTAATACATTATTTCATTTTTAAACAATGGCAATTTTCAGATAAAACCATACTCTATTAAGATACTTGATCTAGCTCTACAATGAAAGAGGTGGGACATAAGAGAATTAAGATGTCAAACCACCGGTGATCTGAAAGCAAAAATTAAGGTATTATATAAATACTATAAATAAATACTATAAATACATAGTATTTAAATTGGAATTTAATGTTTCAATTCACACATAGCATACATTCCATTTTCTAGAGAAAATGCTAAAATTTAAGCACAAAATTGATTTTGCATAAACAATCGAACACAGTCTCCCTAACATTGTCATCTTATCTGGAATGTCGCAGCTGGGGAGAAAACAAACACAGACAACATGACAGTAAGAGTGTTGTTGCAAAACAGGCAATTACAAAGAACTTATTAGCTCCTATTATGCAGTAATAAGTGCCTCATCCTATTTTGTTTTGAAATAAATTAACATTACTTGAATTAATTTGTTGTAGAAAGCATTTCCATAGCTCTAAGGACAGTGGTATTCACACATTTTTCACATTGTCTTACATTAATCTTAGAGATAATCTTAATTGTCTTTCAGGTCTTATGACCTGATTGAAATAAAACACAAGATTTCCCCCCTCCTCACCCCCCCCAAGGTAAACCTTCAAAAAAATTGTATATATATCTACTCCACAGCTTAAAACAGGTGCAATTCAGATTATTACATCATTTGTCTCATATTATGTCATGGCTTGCCATTTTACACATGAGAGAAAGACCCCGGAGCCCTTTATTTATTCACACTATCTGACCACTTCCTCATCTGCTACATATATCTGCTGTATCTAGGGAATAGTCTGGCTCCCTCTGTGCATTATTAAGTGTACTGTTAAGACAAAATGATTCTTTACTGATGTGAAGAGTACAGAACACGAACAAAGCTCAATACAGGAGACACGCTTTCCAAAACTCACTGAGTCCTGTGATGAACTCCTTTGGAGTAAGTGAGCCATTGCCATCAGCATCCAAGGTAACAAAAACTTTTTCAAGTTCTTCCAGGCTAAGAGGTAACTCAGGATGCAGTCTCTGAAATCATAAAACATTCAGCAACTTCATCCATTACTCCAGAATAAGAGGAAGACTAGATTCTACAGAACATCCATAATACAGAAGGATAGGTCCTTTGTTTCCCAGGGTGAAAATTCAAACACATTACAGAGTTAAACAAGATCAACTGAGGGACATTTGCTTTAATAACTTCTTTATTTGCCTTTATGAGTCCATTATGACAAAGAAGTGAAAACAAGCTCCCTGTGACACAAATTCCAATCACACAAGGAACAGGAAGAACTTAAGGTCGAGACTCAGCATTCTGGTGGCTACTGGACAATCTCGGCAGCAGAAATGTATGCCTAGCTCCTTCCACATCATGAGGTCAAGCAAGAGACTCACCAGATGACTACATTATAGAGGATATACTGTCCTAACTAAAGCTGCTTCAAAATATGTAATTTTGAAAATAACTGCATAAACAAACACATAAATAAAACAAAGCTAAGAAAGCTGCGTGGTCCAAAGACCAAGGACCTTCTGATCCTGTAACGAGTTAAATGTAGTTTATGACTGTCTGCTTCTGAAATGCAGCATGCTTACACAAAAGAAGATATAACTTTATAAAACCATCTCCACAAAACTACATTTTTTTTCCCTGATAATCTCGAGACAGGCATAAAAGAAAAAAGAAAAAAATTGTAAAACTGATCCTAAAGGATTTACTCCAATTCTTTTGACAGTGTAGACAGATTCCCAGAAATAGGAGGAACTGGAATGGCAAACAACTACAACAGCAAGGATTTCCAGTGGGAGACAGCAATGGGAAGATTAAAACACCAGCTTGAAAAGCAGTATAAATACACACCAGTGAAGTCCTCTACTTTATTAGTTAAGCTTTTAATCCCCCCCTCGACCTGCTGTTGTATATAAAACATACTAAAATTGCAAGCTAGTTGGTTGATAAAGTTCATCAGATTAAAACTGTTAAAACCGTTCCACTGTGGGGAAGGGAGTTAGGGACAAAGAAAGTTTCTCCTTCAATCCAGGTACAATAGAAATGACTATTCAATATACTAAGCCATACAGGTAAGGTAAGAATTGGCTGAGTGCATTAACCAGGATTTCCCTGGCTGCAATGAAGGCTGCAATGGACTGTATGAGCTGAAGGAAGAGCAGTAAAAGGAATTCCAAGGTGGTCTTGAGAAATGAAATCAACAGTTTCTAAAGCACAGAACTATCTAGAACAGTCACAAAGGAATTTCTGAGCAGGATTAATTGTGGATTGCTGCCTGCTTCCAAAAAAACAAAGAAAATTTACTTCAGCAGCAATATATCTGGTCACCAGTTTCTTACTTAAGCACAGTCGTCTTTCCAAAGCTTTGGATTTTAATCTCTTAGATCTAAAGGGAAACTTTTAAAAATGAGCTTCTGTTGTAAAAGTCTTACAGCCTACTCTGCACTGATGAGGGAGGAGGTGCTTCAGACAAATTACTCTTTCTACACTTAAAAAACCAGAAACTGTACTCCTACTGCCAGGTCTTTGGGACCTGCTGAAGAAGCACTTCTTGAAAGCTGGTTGTCCTTGTCTGACCATGCCATCAACACAGACCCACTTCCTATTCCAGTACAATGGCTTGTGGGTCTTGCTGCAAGCCTGACTGACAAATACATGCTTCTCCAAATATAGCTGGAGTGCCCTAATGGAGTAATCAAATTCTGATGTGAATTACACTGATTTTACAATAGAAAACACCATAATTACTTCTATTTTCTTGGGAAAGTATATGAAAGTAGGAGATTTTGAGGAATGCTCCATTAAATTCCCTGTGGATAATTTACAGACTTTGATGAATTAGGCCACACTTACCACTGTTACTAAGATTAAGTCAATGTTTTCCCAACCTCTTGTTTTTATTCTTAATAAAATAATTAATTTTTTTGGTTGTTAGGAAAAGAAAATGTTATTGATCTCATAATTGTGGTTTTGTTTATTTGCTCATTTCAGGTTTACTGTAAAATCCTTTAAATGTGAGGCTCTCGAAAATTTTAAAAGAAAAAAAAGAAATAAAACATTCAGAGATACCATTGGAGCTTCAAAAGAAACTGTCTGCATTGCCACCAAATGTGCTCTGTCCATTCATGACATCTATGCTTAATTATCTGAAAACACCAAGCTTTTACTCTGCTAAATAAAAAGACAGAGGTCAAATAGCTAAGAGCAAGATCTGAACTCAGTTCTGCTATACACACTTTACAACATTAATTCTCTTATTCATTACAACCTCAAGGCCCAAAGGACGAAGCTGTGGTTTCAAGTCTCAGGTAGAATACGCTTTCTTGCAATTTCAGAAAACCTCTTGTTTGTTTGAAAGTTGAGTACATTTGCTATTTTGAAATGGAATGAAAAAAGTTAAAAAAAAAATCAGTATTAACATAGTCTCACAATAAACAGCATGATATAATCAGGGAGAAGTAAATCTTTAGTATAATTACCATATTACAGACACATTAGAAAACTTTGCAAAATTTGTTCCATTGAAATTAATTGGATATCAGATACTCAGCACTCTCTGTTGAAAATCATGCTTGTATCACACGACTAAAGACTGAAACGCCTAATGTTACCATCCTATACCTGAAGCAAAGCTTCATTAATGGCAAGCAGCACAGAACTAGCTAACAGCACAATGAAAATATCATCAACAATTAGTACCTTTTACAGAAAAAATTGATTTACTTTATTGATTTATGTCTTTGCTATAGGGAGTAAACATCATGAAAAGTACAGGAAATAAAAGCAAGTAAAAGAAACACCATCTCAAGTGTCCTGAGCACCTTTATTTTTGCACTTAAATGAACTTACATACACTTACATATATACTGAAGTTGTCAGATACAGTAAACAAGCACTCATGATGAAATAGAAGAAATGTACTTTATCTGTTCTTTGCAATCCTTTTTCTACTGCATCTTTAGAACCTGAAGTATAAATTTATCAGCACCCTAAGCATAAAATCCAGAATCAAACAGAAACAAACAATTTTACGTTCCTTGAGAAAACAGGCATTAAAACTTTTTATATGCATATATGGGTTTTCCATTAGGTAAAAATATATGCCATTCAGTTTTTGGAAAGACAATAAAATTATAATCTATTAAATTCTCTTTAGGTCTGGTTTTACCAAAAATTACCACTGGCAATATATTTGTTTGTGTTCAGTTACTTCAATGAGATAATGCAGATTGGTAAAGCCTACGGCACAGCAAGAATCTTCATCCCCCTCTTTTTTTGACTTTGGATAATTAATAAAGGTCATCCGGAAACTCAGCAACACAAAACTGCACAGAAACCACAGAAACCTCTTGAGAGCTAGTAAACTGAGCAGTTTACTTAGTTGTTTCTTTTTTTTTTTTTACTTAGGTTTTTGCTCTTTCAACAGAGGTAGTTAAAATTGTTTCCTATATACAGACACATCTTTGTTTCTGAGGACATGGAAGGTTTGTAAATTTTACATTACATGCTTTCTTTGATAGTTGTTTGCAATTAATTCATTTTGCTCCCACTCCTCAATTCTATTTCATCCGTAAGTAGTGAAGTAGAAATGGATTAACACAATTAAATTATGATTTGCATGTCATGCGTGAGTTTATACTTGTTTTCTGCCACAGACTGGTTCAAATCATCTTATCAGTTCTGCAATATGCACCCAATCACATTTTTCAAGAGATTTTGTTATATATAGTTGCATTTTTTTTCAACATTTTCAGCAAATCTGATTTTGGGCCCTCAAACAAATTAAACACAAATAGGTAAGGTTACTGCAAATACTGAATAATGCTAAAAATACTGTTCCTCTATACTTCCTACATTTATATGTGATCCAGCTGAGAGTTCACCATTGTTGGGCAATGAAACCAAAGTGAAAGACTATTTACACAATTTTACTGAAAAAACAGAAGGATAAAATCGATGGACTGAATACATTCATGACACTGCGGCGCATTGCAAAGTAATGAATTTACTGGTGTTTCAATTTTTTTCAATGAGAATGGAATTAAATTCCCAGGGAATTTTTTTAACCTTTATTTACTTTGATTTTCCACTTTTTTGTTGCTTTGACTGGAAAAAAATTCAGGCATCATGTAAGACTTCAAATATATTATTTTAAATTCCATGTATCTGTTTAAAGTTATGAGGAAGGTGTTAACACTTAACTCTAAATTAATCCCTCTCAACTCATTAAGGGCATTAAGAGCTTCTCTCATTCTGCATTTCACATAATCAATTTTGTTTTACCTGCATGTCTTGACGAGTGACGAAGCCTTTGCCTTCCAGATCACAAATCTGAAAGAACTCTTGTGCTTTTCCCAACACAGTTAGTTCTGGGTCTTGCTCTCCAGTCCTGCCTCTCTCTGCATCTCCTGGTGGCACAGGACTGGCACAGTCTCGCTGTATTCTGTCCATTGTCACAGTCTCAGCTCAGGAATATTTTGGGATGCTGCTATCCCATTTACTCGTAAATTCTGATCTGAAACCTGTGCAGGGAAGGTAAGGAAAAAAGCAAATCAGACTCTCTTAATGATGTTTTCCACAATCTCTTAGCAACCATCTATTTAATTAGGCACTAAAGCTTAAAAAGAAAAAAAGCTTTTTGAAAATGTCTACCCTTGATGGGCTGCACTAAAGACACTGCAAATAGGATGATGAATGAGGAGGGGGCAGTCTGAGGGAAGACAAAACTAGCTCCGAAATGGAATCTCAAAGCAAAATCAGCCACTTTGACAAGAAATATGGACAATCAATCAATATGAACAAGAAAAAACAAGAAATATGGGTAAATGCAAAAATAATTTAAAGTCACTACAAGTATTAAGCTGGTATCCTTTTGATTCTCATCATCTTAACATCATATATGACAATTTGCATCTAGTGTTTTGGAACACAGTCATATGACAGCTATAAAATGGAAGGTAACTGATGTCTGAAGGAAAATGATGGATCATGGTGTTTAAATCATCTAAGTAAAATTAAGAGAAAGATAATGTATTATGGAATTCTGAAATATTTTCTTAGATTCATTGTTATTACTTAGGGCCTTGACTTTCAGCTGTGAAGGAGAACTAATTGCTAGTGAACTTGGTGCAAAGATTTCCCCGTGTGATTTTAACTTATTATCATGTGGGTAAACCAAGTAGGAGACAGACTGTTTCACTGTAGTACTGTGTATTTGTGACAGGCTAAGAACATGTGTACAGTTAGCAGCTCTCAGATAACATGCAAAAACTTGACTCATTATCTGCATCTTGAATTTGTGTTTCTGCTTTTCTAAGTAGGTCTACCTAAAGTAGCCACAAATTTGTCTGATAATTTTTAACAGATTAAAGTATTTTGTAAGGCATTTAACTATTAAAAAGGAATACAGCCTGATTCTAATCCATGCACAACTTGGAACAGCTCCAACAGAGGCCACTGAGAATTGTTTAAATTTGAAATGTACACTGTCTTCAGAGTACAGGCCTTGGCATTGCACGGATGTGAAGGTAGAATCTGAGGAAACAAGACCTTAGGCTTGTCTATGCAGTTTCTTAGGGAGAAAACACTCACATAGACAGAGCAATTCAGCCAGAGTCTGTTTTATTTTATGCTTAAGTTCAAACCTGGCAGTGTTTAAAACACAGCATCTTCCAAGAACTTCATAGACGACACACTTAAGAGTTTGTAGTGGCTTCCCATGACAAAGCAATTTCTCTGATAGCTAAGGGTCAGGCAGTTGGATTTCCCATATTGCATGTAAGTATAAATGCACTGTAAAGAGGCCATTGACTTCAAATCAAACAAGGACTTTGATGAGCAAACCACCCTCCCCCTCTGAAACCATGTGACAAAAATCTGCACACATAGGTAATTTTCCTCTCTTTCCCTCCTTTCTTTTACAATCATCATCCCAGGACTGTTCCTCAAATACTCTCTGAAGCTGAAACAATTGTGGCTTAATAGCCAAAGAACTCAGATGTCAAAATCCTTCCTAAAGCAGAGTTACAAGCAAGAGAAGAAAAAACTCTCAAAGAAGCCAAGGAATGGTTACATCCAATGCCATTCTGCTTTAAGAAATTCCTCCTCAGAATGCTTCAATTATACTGTACAGCAGTCAGGGATGTTCTATAAACCCAAGACCAGCTATTTAAACCAAGCCCCTGCCCCCACCTGCACCCAACACACTGCACAGGGTGACCCCCAAAAGGCACCAGAGCCTACCAGAGCACCCATGCCAGCAACCAAGAAGGCCCTGGATAATGAACAGGGCTAGAAAATGCTGTCACAGGAAATACTGGTCACACATAAGAAGGGGCTTTTGGCTATTACAGCTGCTTGAACAGCTGTACTCTTTCTCTTACAAGAAAAATTTCTAGCTCAGAAAGTCTGACGAGCCTTCAGCAGCTGGGAAGATACACAAAGGAAAAGATCACTCCATAACTGCCCAGTTTCTTAATTACTTCCATGACGTTTCCAATAACAGACAGTCTTAAAAACAGTAAAAGAGCTAGATGAATCTTTGCTCTCACTCTGTATAGCCATCCACAAGTGGATCAGATGGAAATGCCACAGAAAACCACATTCAGACTACAGTGGTATAATAGTCTGAATGAGATTCTCCTTTCACACTGCTTTTACACACCTGAACTTCACTTATGTCAATACAGCTCACTCCTGGCTGACACCAGTGCATGAGGTAATCAAAACCAGGCCATTAGTTTCTGCTTTGCAGTGACACTAACTTAAAGACAGGTTTAAATATACAATAAATCAATGGGACAAGTGCAGCCTAATAATGGTCTTGACAAGATCTGGCACAGACTCCAAATGTTTTGGAGATTTTCTTTTTCACATCTCAATAATTTCTCAAAAGGCCACAACTGCAAGAACAGGCCCAGTGAATCATAATAGTAAGTTTGCTAGTGCCTGTGGTCTCTGCACAGTCCATTAGACTTCCATAGGAAAAAGAAAAAGGAAAAACTGTGCAAGGAATAGATAGCCAACTGCATGTGAAAAAAGAAAAATACAAAAGCAGATTAAAAACAGTGGAACAAAAAGGCAGTCTATACAGTTTGATAGAGTTATTTGCATTTAACAAACAGTACAGTTCAGCAAACATCACCATGCTTAATACTTCCATATCACAAAATGAAATTACGTGCATCATGAGAGCCTCGCCTTCTTACAAGCTGCCCCACCTTTTAAACACACCATAAAAACTTGCTACACAGAAAGTGTCTTCAATACAGCAGAAAATTAAATTAGAGCATACGCAAAAATCCTTATATCCTTATGGCAGCTTCTAAAGCTGGCAGAGTTCATCGTTATTCCTACAGTGTCCTGAGACTTTGTAAAAGCTGGTAATAACATGAAAGATTAAAACTGCAATTTGTCCCACATGACTGAGTCAGCAATGTAATTATTTCAAGGCCAGTTTTAAATAACATAGGTAGTTCCATTCACTCATCCATCTCCTTTAAAAAACAAATGGCTTACAAAATCAATCCTATTAAGACCTTTGATTTCCATTCTTTTAGTTACACACTTCATTATGCAAAATAGGTCATACCACGACCTGATGCAAACAAACATTGCTCCAAATAGTAAACAAGGATGTGGGCTTTATGAGGTTTTTGTAGATTAATCATGAGGTAATTTTGGACAGGTCTGTAAAAGGCAGGTCACGGTTAATATTTTAAATGACATTTTCATCATTTCCAGTCGGGTCTACTGTACATCACCAAACTCTAGAGGCACAGAACAATGCTAAGCCACAGATTTCCTAAGTCATGACTCGTCACAGCCTCAGTCTCCTTAACTGTGATATTTAAAAACGTAGAGCTGCTTTACCTGCATTCACATCTCTGAGATTTTAGGCATCAGTAAAATATTTTTCTTAGCATGTGTCTACAGGTAAAAACTTTCTGCAGCACACTTCCAAACATATTATCCACAGAAAAATGTAGCAAGCTTACTTAATACTGAGGTTACCTTGGATTTATACAAAAGAGGTAACATTTATGTTTTATGAACACTGGAAAACAAAAATTAGATTGCATTCTTTTTCTACAAGAAATATATTTTCCTACAATCAAATTACTGTTGCTAAAATAACCTGTAGCTGCTGTGTAGTATGCTTACACATCAACAGGGACCTCTTCAGAACTAACTTAGCGTCAGAGTCAGTTATCTTTCAGCATTATGCCGAAAAGCTCCTAAAGCTAAAATGTATCACCGCAAATACTTTATGTTAGCACAAGCCTGCTGAAAGAAGTCATTCTGTTTTGCCTTGTGTTTAAACAAGTGTTCTTCCAGTTAGACAATGAACCCTGTTGAATTCTTTCAATTTAATTAGGAAAGTTTTAATTTATTTAGTTCAATTAAGGTCAAGTGGTCCATCAAGACAATAAAAATTTTTTAAAAAAGCAGAACCTACAGAGAACGACAGAGGAATGAGACTGCAGAGACCAAAGAGAGCACCATATATAACCACACTTAAGTACACAGAAGTTTGTTAGATACAGGATTGGAGAAAAATACTCCCTATGCACATAACACAATACACAAGAAATAAAACTCTTGTGCTGTAACCTGGCAGATAAGCTAGACATGAAAACCCACCCAAGGATAAAGAAAATAAAGCACTGAACTGCAAAAGGCTGCAAAGGCAGTGCAACTGCCATCACAGGAGAATAGAACTAAACACAAATCTGCAAATAATGGCAGAGGTGGGAATTCCTTGACAAAGATGAAGATAGCATTGGACCTCAATGTTACTTTTAGCCATTTTTAAAGATCTTAAAAGACCATTCAAAGTAAAAATTCAGGCCCCACATTTAAAACAATCAGCAGAGATACAAAGTTGTGTGCTCAAGAAAATATCTGTTTTTTCTTAACTATGACTAAGACAATTACCCTTTAAGTTTCATGGAAGCACTATAAAGCTTGACCTAACCATATGAACACCTAGACAGAACTAGATGAAAAAAATGGGACATTCATTCCTCCAATTTTGACTTTTCAAGTAAAAACGTGCAAGTCAGAAAGGCACTGAAGTGTATCATCAAAACCTCTTCCACACAGCCTGAATTCACTTCTGTCATGATGTACACCACCTCTCATGGTTCTCCATCTCAGGACACAGTGCACCATGGAGTGCATATGGGGAGTTTAACTGCGGAGGAAGAGATCTGAGGCTGGCTGCAGTTCCTATGAGGGACCACAAGAAGATAGTCTGAAAGAAACGTGTCATGAAAATGATTTCAGGAGAGTAGCAAAGGCAGACAACAGAGGAATCCTACATCCACTGGCCTATAAAAGGAAAAACTTTTTAGTTATGTCGAAACTCCTTTCCTGTGAGTAAATTTGCGTGGGAGAACCAAATTCTGTTTACAATCAGGCTTAATAGAAACTCTCCAACCAGATTTGACTAGCTTTTAAAGATTAGAGGAACCATAAGTATCACCTACTTTGACATCTGCAAGCTTATACTACAACAAGG